CCTCCAACCCAGCATTGTGGCTTCAAACTGTTGAAGCAGAATTTCGTATATGCGGCGTTGTAGATGACGAGCAAAAATATTATAGCGCGCTTTCGGCACTCAACGAGCAAGTCATCATCCGAATTCCGCACGTCATTGAAAACCCACCGAATGAAAAGAAGTGGCCATCATTGAAAGCCGCCCTGTTGAAAGAGTTCACTGATAGTCAACTGGAAAAATACGAACAAGTGTTGAGGGGTCTATCCCTAGGAGACGAGAAGCCTAGTTGGCTCTGGAGTCGTATGAAACAATTAGCACCTTAGCTTCCCGGAAGATTTTGCAAAAAAACTATGGCTTGAACGCCTTCCCGAGCAGCTGCGAATTCCTTTGTTGGCTTTCGAGGATGGAAAATCAATCAACGAGCTAGTTAACGGAGCAGATAAAATTATGGAAGGCACACGACATTACGGAGCTGCAGACCATAAGCCACGCATCAGTGCTATTGGAGGAAAATCAGAACCTGGACGCTCCCGCTCGCGATCAGCAGACCGTTCCCTCAGTACACGCTTAGGACGCTCCCGCTCACGATCAGCAGACCGTTCCCTCAGTACACGCTTAGACCAACAAGCCAACAAAATTGATAAACTGTTTGACATGATCGAAAGGTTAGTGACAAGTGGTGGTCGTAACACCGATCAAGGCCGAAGTGGATACTATCAAAAACGTAGAGAGTCTCGGACACGAAGCCGTGACGCGACTCCAGTGAGTCCTCGAAACGGTGAGTCAAATAATTATGACGGCTATTGCTTTTATCATTGGAGATTCGGCGATCTGGCGAAAAACGGCCGCGAAAACTGCACTTATCCAAAAGTTACAAAAAACGAGTAGTGGGGGTGCAGGAAACTACACCCCCAACCATCACCTGCTTTTCATCGAAACGTCTGTTCGTTTACGATCCACAAACACACAAGTCGTTTCTTGTGGACACTGGGGCGGATTTGTCACTGTTTCCTTCATCGAACGGTGATCCGACTAGCCAATCTGGGCAATTACTTGCAGTTAACAACACAATAATTGGGACATACGGCACTCGAGATTTTACGATCTCGCTTGGATTTGACCGTACATTCACCTGGCGTTTTACTATTGCCAACACATCCACACCAATCCTTGGCGCCGATTTCCTCGACAATTTTAAACTCGACGTCAGTATTTCGGAAGGCAAAATTATTGATCGAGTAACAGGTATCTGCGTTTGTAGAACTGGAAAGGATCAAACGAGAATCGGCTTATCATCACTGCATTTAGAACATCCGTTCGCTACCATCGTAGACGAATTCATCGAACTTACCGAACCAAAGAAGTTTGACGACTCGATCAAGCCTCCAATGGTTACTACTGGTTATCCATCATATCGAAACCTACGGGCCCGCCTATCAGCTGCAAGCCGCGTCGATTGAGTGGCCAGAAATTAGATGCTGCGAAAAAAGAATTTGCATCTATGGTTAAACGGGGCATTTGTCGCCCGTCTAATTCACCGTGGGCCTCACCATTACATCTCGTACGAAAAAAGGATGGTAATTGGCGACCCTGTGGTGATTACCGCAGGTTGAACGCGGCAACGATTCCAGATGCGTATCCTATTCCCCATCTTCACGACGTGCAATGGATGCTTCGCGGAAAAAAACACTTTACGACGTTGGATCTGGAGCGTGCTTACAATCAAATACCTATAAACCCTGAGGATATTCCAAAAACCGCAATCGTAACCCCATTTGGGTTATATGAATTCCCAGTTATGACATTTGGGTTACGCATTGCATTGCAAGCCAGACGTTCCAACGTATGATAAATGGACTGTTGGCGGATCTCAATTTTTCGTTCGCTTATATTGATGATATCTTAGTGGCGTCGTCATCGCTCGAAGAGCATCTCGAACATTTGCCATTGGTGTTAATGCGTCTCCAATCGGCAGGGTTGAGGAGTAATCTGGCAAAGTGCCGTTTTGGACAATCATCTGTTCAATTTTTGGGCCACATCGTCACCGGCAGTGGAATCAAACCCCTTCCGGATAAGGTCCAAGCGATCAACAATATCCCATTGCCCACTGTTGTGAAGGAACTCCGCCGTTTTCTTGGCGCAATCAACTTCTACAGGCGTTTTATTCCTGGTGCAGCTCACTGCCAAGAAGCGCTTAACAACCTCATCGTTGGCAACGTAAAAAATGATAAAACAAAAATTCTTTGGACGCAACTCACCCGTGCGGCGTTCGAAGAGTCGAAAAGACTCCTCGCCGAGTCAACAATGTTAGCACACCCGAAGGAAAATGCACACCTTGTTCTTGAAACGGATGCAAGCGATGCTGCAATTGGAGCTGTTCTACACCAGGTAGTTGACGGCGTCATCGAACCTCTTGCGTTTTACTCAAAAAAGCATGAACCATCCGAATATCGATATGACACTTACGACAAGGAACTATTGGCAATTTGGAGGGCTATCCGTCATTTCGATCATTATTTGGAGGGCCAACAATTCACTGTCCTTACTGACCACAAACCACTACTTGGTGCGTTTGGAAAGACGAGTCATCACACCGATCCGACGAGACGGCGTCGGGTGGCGCAGATCTCCGAGAGAACAACGGACTTCAGACATATCTCGGGAAAAGACAACTTGGTCGCTGACTTACTTTCACGTATCGCTACAATATCATCACCATCATTCGACTTTTCCGCGCTCGCCGCCGATCAAATAGTGGATCTTGAATTACAACAATTGCTCTCTGTCGAGAACACCAGTTTCAAACTGCTTCGATTGAAACACTTCGACTCGAGCCTTGAATTGATCTGTGAAGTGTCCACTGGCAAAATGCGGCCTTTCGTAACAAATTCGTTACGAAAATCATGCTTCAATAAAATGCACGGCATCAGCCATCCCGGAATTCGAGGTACGCAGAAATTGATCCGTCAGCGATTCTTCTGGCCTTCTATGCGGAAGGATATAGCCAACTTTGTTAAGCATTGTATACCATGCCAGCAAGCTAAAGTGCACAAACACAACAGAGCAATCTTAGACAAATTTGACCTTCCATCTGAGCGTTTTCAACATGTACATATTGATATTGTAGGACCGCTACCGCCGTCGGATGGAATGCAGTATATTTTTACAGCCGTCGATCGCTTTACTCGATGGCCGATTGCAGTTCCTATTGCGGATATTCGAGCTGAAACTGTGGCACGTATATTCATCACGAGCTGGATTTCAAACTTTGGAGTTCCACATCGAGTGACCACGGACCGTGGTCGCCAATTTGAAAGCACTCTGTTCAGGGAGTTGAGTATTCGTCTGGGGGTAGATCATATTAAGACAACTGCCTATCATCCTCAGGCAAATGGCCTTGTCGAGCGTTTCCATCGACAGATGAAGGCAGCTCTTATGTGCTTCGAAACAACGGACTGGTCTCATCGACTTCCCTTGGTTCTTCTCGGATTGAGAAGCACTTTCAAGGAAGACCTCGGAGCCTCGTCAGCCGAAATGGTTTTCGGTACAACTTTGCGTTTGCCCGGAGAGTTTTTAGATAAACAAACTCCGTCAAACGTGGTAGCTACGCAGTTCAGCGACGAGCTTACTAGTATGATGAACGAGATTCGACCTGTTGCAGCGGCAGACCATTCTAGGCAACGACCTTTTTTTATCAAGGGATTGGACGAATGTACGCATGCATTTATTCGAGATGATCATGTGCGTCGTTCACTGCAACCGCCTTACCTTTGGGCCATATGAGGTTGTTAAACGTGGCCCCAAGATGTTCAATCTGTTAGTGAAAGGGAAGACAAAAGCTGTCTCGGTGGACAGAATCAAACCGGCTTTTATTTTGGCGTCTTGGCCCGGTTTGGTCGAGTAATTCGTTTCCCTCGGCATCGTCTGGGGGAGAGTATTGTGGCGACCAGGTAGTCCGCTACTAATGATCCTTGTTTCCAGGACGACGAAATAATAGGGGAAAAAATCCATTAGAATGAAAGTTGTCAAGTTAATTTATTAGCAGTTTTAAATCGTTATTTAGCGTTGGGAGTGTTAAATATAAAGAATTCCCACAGGCTCACCCAACTTGCCCGACAGTTTATCGCGACACTTAATGCTCCCAGTGTAAATACATGTGGAAGTTTCTCCCGCGAGATTGCCGCAAGTAACTTGCTAGTCTACCTGCGCCTTAAGAAGTTAACTCGAGATAGGAAAAAATGGAGCACAATAGTTTATAGCTTGGTTTATAGTGACTTATCTGGTAGAATATATTAATTTATTTTCCGTACACCATGATGGTAGAACGGTTTTGATTATAATAAATAATAACGTTACAATTCTTGTTGTTTATTCCATATTATGCTGTAAAGGATCATGACGGTTGCTTTCAAGTTGGGGCTATAATGTAACTGGAATTCACAGTGATAACGCTTTGCGTTAAAGCAAATTCAAATTTTAGCGCGCTTGCGTTTGCGCAGTACCTAAACACTATGGCAGTACCGAGGGAGTCAATATGCAACACATCTGCAAAGTTAATGCCAGTGCCCTCTGATGGTTGTCTCGCCTCTCTTACATATCCCCCCATCGGTAATTTTGAACCTGTTATCAATCCCAGGTATTTTATGTCTCTCTCGTTTTTTTCTTGTCCTTAGTGGTCGTGGACTATCTTTACCCCTTTTAGTTGCCGGTCGCTATTTAATATTGTAGCTGTAGCTTTTCCGCTGCCTCTTTTAGCTTGCTTGCCTTCATCCATCGCCTTCATGCAAGGTGACATTTACAATTTCGTTGAGACAGTGGTGAGGTTTTCATCGGGGCCAAGCCTACCCTTGGAATTTCTACCTCCATTGCACAAGTAAACTGACAAACCTCTTCAACAGTTCATTTTAATTGAACGCTTTCAATTTCCAAATTTGAAATTGGGCCGGTTTAAAATTTAAAATGCAGATGGCGCCACTTCGCAACATGAATGAAGGCGGCCTACGTTATCGAGTTTTAATACGCGTAGTCGCGTACGCATCCCGGTTTTTGTTTTCTTAAGAGGGGGAAGACCTTGCATAGCACGTGCACTAAACCCCATAATTTTCGGTTTGGTTTTCTAATAGCAAAATTAGTGAAAAACCGGCATTTTCCGTTGTTAAGTACTCGCATTTCCCCTGCAAGTAGTAATTCAAGCGCTTCCGACCCAGTAATTAACGTGCAATGGCTTTGGGTACAAAGGTTGAGGAAACGGAGAGTAATTGTGCCCAAGACAATTCGGACGAAAATACGTGCAAATCGAAGGAAAACGGCCTAATTACCGGTAAGTTTCTCCGAGATTCTTGCGAAACTTCTTCAATTTTCATTTACCGCTTTTATGCGTTACGTAATGGCTGTTCGCTGATTTGATTTGTCAATGCATCGATGTCGCAATCGCCTTTGATTTTATTTAATTCTTTAAATTAGCCCGTTAATTGAATTGCTACTCGTCCATTGCGTTCTTTAATTAGAGAAACGGCCCCATGCAATGAAATCCCTTGTTTACCTACCTTCTGTCATTTGAGGGACTATTTTTAAGCACTTCTTGAGCATCTTCCTGCCCTCCCTTTGAATCCACGTGACTCTCGCTTAACGTTAATTTTTTCTCAGCAGAAAATTCGAGCGAATCGGATGCAAAGAAAGATGAAGTGGTTTTCATACAAGACGTGGGATTTTCGGTTAAAATCGTCAGCCCAGGCACGGACATGTTCGAAATACAGGTAAGGCCAATTCTACGAATTGTCGGGACACTATACTATCGAGAATCCGCAGGTTTCTAGCATCGAACTGGTGCAAGAAATTCACCAGCTGCTGATGGACAGGGAGGACACGTGCCATCGTACCTGCTTCTCGCTGCAGCTCGACGGTAACTCGCTGGATAATTTCGCCGAATTAAAAAACATTGAAGGTTTAAAGGAGGGCTCCGTGATCAAGGTCGTCGAGGAGCCGTACACGATGCGAGAGGCGCGTATACACGTGAGGCACATTCGAGACCTGTTAAAGTCTCTAGATCCGGCCGACGCGTACAACGGAGTCGAGTGCAGCTCACTCTCATTCCTGAACGCGGTGACACAAGGTGATATATTAGGTGAGTTTGAGAACCTCCCTTTGCTTTTGAATGTGGGGGGTCATGGAGTGTGCAACACAAATAATTTAAACAATAGAATCTTAGTATCGTCTCAGTTGGCTGTGTTAAATACACAGAGTGCATGTACTATGCGATCAAAAATGAGTTGCTGTCGAGTCACCTTTGGAACTTTTACATGGGAAATCGTATTTAACTTAAACTTCCAAAGGCGACTCGACAGCAACTCATTTTTGATCGCCCGTTACAAAAGCTTGAATGACAGAGTTGATTTGTAGAAAAGAAGAAGCTACGACCGGAGAGTGTCGACTGTACGCCACCCGAATTTATTATGCCCAACGGCAAGGATCGGCCGCTTTCGGCGCTACAGCCCCAGCTAAAGGACTGCAAGGTCCCGCAGTGCGTTAAGGTATGAAATTCGTGTTGGAGTTTGTGAAGTACGTGTGCTTTTAGGTGCTAACGACCTCGGCGTGGAACCCTCCGCCCGGTCACAGGAAAATACACGGCGATCTTATGTATCTTTATGTTGTAACGCTCGAGGATAAACATTATCACATATCGGCGTGCTCAAGAGGTTTCTATATTAATCAGTAGGTACACCAATTGCATTCGTTTTATGAATTTCCTCTCTTTGGAACAATAGACAATGAAGTGACAGTTATATGCTAATGATGTGTACCTTTTCTAATTCTGGGACCAAAACTGCTTATCTTTAATCTAACTACATGTGGGAGAGTACTGAAATTGAGGTCAGTTTAAATGGTGAAGCTGGGAAGTGCACTCACTCCTAAAATAATTAGTTTAATAATCCCGAAATTAAGATTCATATTTTCTACCACCCAAAAAATTGTCCTCTTTTCTTTTGTTTTTTTTTAATTGTCCCTTGTTCTTTTGGTATATTTTTAAATGTAATCCTTGGGATGGGTGGAATCTTTGGTTTTATGAATGGGATCATTGTCTTCTGCTCTTTTGGTATATTTTAGATGGGGTCATTGCCCATTGGGATGGATGGGATATTTGTTCCTTGCTCTATTGTTTTTTTAATGAGATCATTGTCCCCTGCTCTTTTGTTTTTTTTAATGGAATCATTGGCTTCTTTTTTTTTATATTGAAACGGGATGAATTGGGATAGGATAGGTGGGATCATTGTCTCCTGCTCTTTTGGTTTTTTAAATATTGAAATGGGATTATTTGGGAGGAGTGGGATCTTTGTCGTTTGCTCTTTTGGTTTTCTTAAATGGGATCATTGTTCCCTGTTCTTTCGGTATATATTTTTTAAATGTGATCATGCGGGGATGGATCGGATTTTTGTCTTTTTCTTTTTGGTTTTTAAATTTGTATTTTGAAACTGAATTATGGGATGGGTGGGATCATTTCTCCCTGCGCTTTTGGTGTTTTTGAAATGGGATTATTTGGGAGGGGTGGGATCTTTGTCCTCTGCTCTTTTGTTTTTTTAAAGGGATTGTTGTCCTCTTTGGTATTTTTTTAGATGGGATTAGTGGGATGGGTGAGTTCTTTGTCCCCTACTCTTTTGGTTTTTTAATGGGATCATTGTCCCTTGCTCTTTTGGTATTTTTTAATGGGATCTTTGTCCTTTCCTCTTTTGTTTTTTTTTAATATTGAAACAGGATTAATTGAGATGGGTGGGATCTTTGTCGCCTGCTCCTTTGGTTTTTTCCAATGGGTTCATAGTCCTTTGCTCTTTTGGTATTTTTGTAACGGGATCATTGTCTCCTGCTCTTTTAGAAGTTGTAGATTGTAGCTTGTAGCGCATTTTTTAAGAATTAAAAAGAATGTGCTATTGTTTGCGTTTTGTCCGTCCGTTCGTCCGGACCCACGTCTACCGTTTTGAACTACTTCTACGGGAATGGTCCTAGAGTCCTGGAAATTTTGTGCAGTAGGCAGCCTATACCTTGAAGGTGTGCCAGACGGCCATCAAATTTCGCTGTCTAAAAGGGGGGCCCCCCACGATTTATTTCCTGAGATGCTGTTTTTGAAAGTAATACGTGCATAACTTTTACATACAACAATCAATTGGTCTCAGATTTTGCATACGCATGCCTTTAGTGGTGCCAAGTTAAACTTTAGAAAATGGGGGGAGGGGGGTAAACACATGTTCTACTCTTCATGGTGTTCTAATGAAAGGTCTCATCGAAAGGAATTAATTTATACTAACCATAGCCTTCCCTTTTCGTGATCGGTTATAATTCCTTCTATCTTAAGAGTAAATTGTCAAAGGAAAGTACCTACAAAGGGCGATTGGAACGTTTGGAAGAAATATAACCATTGCGCATTTAAATAAAATTTGATACATAGTCACTTGGAATAAAACCAAATTTAACGCCAGTTTCAAAAAATTTCGTTTTGCGCATGCGCAGTGCCAACTTTCTTATTTATGGAGGCATTTAAATAAAATTTGATACATAGCCAGTTGGAATAAAACCAAATTTAATGCCAGTTTCAAAATTTTCGTTTTGCGCATGCGCAGTGCCAACTTTCTTATTTATGGAGATTTAAATGAAATTTGATACATAGCCACTTGGAATAAAAGCAAATGTAGCGCCATTTTCCAAATTTGGTTTTGTGTAGGATGTGCAGTGCCAACTTTCTTATTTATGGAAGAAATTTCGTAGGGGTGTTTAAAAAAATGCGCTTTACCTGCACAAGGGTTGTGCACAATTTGTACTTGTTTTAAGATGGTATCATTGGGATGGATGGGATCGTTGTCTCCTGTTTCTTAGTTTTTTTTAAATATTGAAACAGGATTAATTGAGATGGGTGAGATCTTTGTCGCCTGCTCCTCTGGTTTTTTCCAATGGGATGATAGACCTTTGTTGGTATTTTTTTTACGGGATCATTGTCTCTTTCTCATTTAGAATTTCTTTAAGATGGTATCATTGGGATGGATGGGATCATTGTCCCCTGCTTTTTTGTTTTTTGTTAAATATTGAAACAGGATTAATTGACAGGGGTGGGATCTTTGTCGCCCGCTCCTTTGGTTTTTTCCAATGCGATCATAGTCCTTTGCTCTTTTCGTATTTTTTTTTAACGGGATCATTGTCTCCTGCTCTTAGAATTTTTAAGATGGTACCATTGGGATGGTTGGGATCATTGTCCCCTGCTTTTTTGTATTTTTTTTAAATTTTTATTTTGAAACGGGATTAAGTGGGATCTTTGTCTCTATTTTTTTAATGGGAGCATTGTGTCCGGCTGTTGTCGTTTTTTTTTAATGGGATCATTGGGATGGGTGGGATTTTTGCCCCTCTCATCTTTTGATTTTTTTTTCGGCGGAATGTTTTTTTATCATTCCGCTGTTTTTTCGTATTTTACAATTTTATTTATTTGTGATTGAAATGTGATTGTCTGGTAGTGCTCCATTAGCAAGGAATGCTGCTCTTTTTTTAATTTTTTTGCAATCTAAAACTAATGATCAACCTTCTTGCAATTTTACATTAGTATTCTTGTGGCGTGAAGACCAGACATTCAATTGGCCATTAGAAGCTGCTGCAGTTAGTAGTTTGTGTTTGAGTAAACCTTCCCCTTCCCTTGCGAATACTGTGCGAGGACGACGAGTAGCATAATTTTAAGAAAATTAATTTTTTTTAGTTATCAGACTGTGTGGACGTCAAGTAGTGAGTTGTCAATTTTTTGTATGATAGACGCTCAAAAGAAAAAGAAATTAAAACGCCATAAAGACTACAGATTATAGAGTTTGGTTCGGGATCGAATTAAAGAAGTTATAATAATAATAATAATGCCTTTAGTACTTTTTAAGAAAAAAAAAGGAACAAAAATATAATTCTGTGCACTAGAGGCGGAGTTAAAAGCTGCTCTTCCACTCAACCTCTTGTTGGCGGCTTCATCCTTTTATATTATTTAGATATTCGATGTGTAGACATGTACATATATTATCAACATATCTAACATACTACCAAATGTAAGAAACCAGTCCGGTCACTGGTCTTAAATTCGCTTTAAAAAAAGAATTATTTAGAGAGGTGTTGGGAAACCAACAAAAGATAGCTGTAAACAAGAAAAAATAAATGAAATAAAAAATATGATAGATTAAAAATTATATTTTACTATTTTATGAATCTATTAAATGTGTGAATAATTTTTTTTAAAAATATAATTGCCCAAGAGTTTTGAATTTTGATGGGAGGCTGTTATAGAGCTGAAACCGCGTTGATTTTCAAACAATTACACATTAGTCTAATGCGTAGCTGGACGTCAGTTTAATTAGAAGTCTTCCAGTACCTCTGCCACAAAATTAAATAAACAAATACCCTGTTTTGAATGGTGGATTGACATTTTAACTCTTCCTGCACTTCCACTAAATTTTCTGCAACTCACTTCTCTGTTGTCTTCTCAAGGGAGATACACCGAACTCCACCTCACAGACAACACTTTTTCAGACTAGGCACTGTCGCGGGGCGAATTTCTTTAAATTTTTGTTTATGTAATTATCTGAGTAGCTATTAAATAATTATTTTAGATCAACAGATCAGGACTTTAATCCAAAAGCGGCCTCACCAAGTCACTTGTGTCATTCGTTAATCGAACTACTAAACCAAATATCGCCGCTATTCAAACGTAATTTTACGACCTTACAAAAGAAACGTAGCCAAAGACACCCCTTCGAGCGCGTCGCCACCCCGTATCAAATATACGTATGGACCGCCCCCGTGATGGAACACACGATCGACGCGATTCGCGCCGAAGACAGTAAGTTCGCCTCGTTACTTCCATTTCAAATTGTCTAGGTCTACGATTTCAGCTTTCTCCTCGAAGTTGGGCTACGAAGAGCACATTCCCGGACAGACGAGAGACTGGAACGAGGAACTGCAGACTACCAGAGAGTTGCCGAGAAAAACGTTGCCGGAACGTCTGCTTCGCGAGAGGGCGATTTTTAAAGTTCACGGCGACTTCGTTGCCGCCGCAACTCGGGGGGCGATGGCTGTGATTGACGGTAACGTGATGGCGATCAATCCGGGAGAGGAGGCGAAAATGCAGATGTTCATATGGAACAATATCTTCTTCTCTTTTGGTTTCGACGTTCGCGATCACTACAAAGAGCTGGGCGGTGACGCCGCCGCGTTCGTGGCGCCCCGCAACGACCTACAGGGCGTTCGCGTGTATAGCGCCGTCGACTTACCCGGCCTGTACACGTTGGGAACTGTCGTCATCGACTACCGCGGGTACCGCGTTACCGCCCAATCGATTATTCCCGGCATTCTCGAACGCGAACAAGAGCAGTCAGTTGTTTACGGGTCGATTGATTTCGGGAAAACGGTTTTGACGCACCCGAAGTACTTGGAATTGGTAAAGGTGATACGGTTGGTTTGCTCGTGGTGAGTTTTATCATTGTAGTTAAATAAAGCAGGGCAGCAGCTTAAGATTCTTCCGCATCACGTACTAAATGAGAAGGACGAATCGATCGAATTGTGTTCCAGTGTCGAATGCAAGGGTATCATTGGTAACGATGGACGCCATTACATTCTCGACCTGCTACGAACGTTCCCTCCTGATGTCAACTTCCTGAAATGTTTGTTCCCAATTTAACGCATTCCTTTACGTAACGGGTCTGTTTTAGTGGACGAGGAGTTGAGCAAAGAGGTAATGATGTTGGGCTTTCCGATAGAGCACAAGCACAAGTTGTGTTGCCTCAGGCAGGAGCTCATCGACAGCTTTGTCGATTCTCGTTACATGATGTTCATTAAGTACGCCGCCTTCCACTTGCAACAGCTGAATTTGCGCAAAAACGAGGCCGTGAACAATAAGGAGAGTTCCGAAGAGAAAAAGGATAATCAAATTGAGACGGAGGAGGCGAAGAAGATCGTTGAAAGCATAACGGACGGCGGCAAGTTGGAACGTAAGTCTTGGGGGGCATTGTATCAATCGCTTTCTGTAACAGTTTCTAATTCTACCGATTTTCCCTTAGAAGAAAACTTCTGAATCTCAATTGTTAATAATGCTGAAAAGAAAGAATGGCACCCAGGGCCTGCAAACAATGTACCACGCACACGACGCGATCGATTAAAACAAATTAGTAATTTTAAAATCCGGCCCTGTCTCCAATTTTCTTTCGCAGATGCACAGTCTTCTTCACAAACCGATGTCGCTTCTGATTTTTCTTTACTTTTCAATTTCTTGTTTACTTATATAAGTGAATTGGACTTCTTGTAATCACAATTATAGAATGGCTCTTTGATAGTGGACGACTATTTGAAATAACCTTTCAAAAAGGCCTCGCTTATTCGTGCAACGCCCAGAATGACCAAGGCACTCACAATACACTGTATTTGTTGTCAGGACAAGGTTTGTATAAAAATAATCTTCTCTTTTCCGTCATTTTAAATCGCAATGTAGCTAGTAGATGGCGCCATTACTAATAAATAATTAAAGTCACTAGATATAAAAAAACAGGTGGAACAATCCGTAACATTAAAGTTACTAGAATCTGGTAATTTCCGCCATTTTTGGGCAAAAATCATGCGTTCTCTCTCTAACACACGAGCCTAATGGATTGCGGTACTTTCTATATTTAGTGACTTTATAAATAATCATAGATATATAAATACCTAGATACAGCCATCCTTAACAAACGTACCTCGGTTTTTAAAAAACATATCTAAGAAATTTGTACATCTCTCCATTACTTTCTAACCAAGAAGAAACATGTTCTATCTCTTTTTATTGCATTAACCACTATGTCGTACGCGAATCGGACGCTTAAAACAAACTTAGCGCGTCCCATAAGTCATGTGACAGTTGACACATTTCACGATCCCGCGAAATCAAATCTAACTAAAAATATTCGCCCTAAACATGATGGGCGGTTTTTTCACTAAATATTATGTAATTATTGCGTTATCAATTGAATACGAATAACATTAGTGCTTGCCATAATGATAGACGCGTCCATAATTGTTATTCCTGAAATAGTTTTATTACATAGAGCTACGCCATTCAAATTTGGGACTATGTTTACCTTGTTTGGCATGATGTGCTGCAGTGAATTCATTGCTGGCTTGCAGAATATCAAAAAAACCGTAAGTAAGTAAAGTTTATGTTCAACATTTTAATTTTAATTGCATGGTTTTAGGCGTAATGGTAACGGAGATTAAGTTGCGACAGGAAGTGAATTCGTTTCCAATTATCATTTTGGCCTATATGATGCAGTGCGTTTGTATCATGATCACAAAGAAGGATGCGTGCAATATTCTTAGGAAAGCGAGATTTATAGACTGTTGTGTGCGTGCAATATCAAATTTTGGTCGCTACGCGTCTTGCCTACCTTTCGGCATAGTCCAATCGGTGGGGTTTCTTTTTGAAATTATAGTGCTAATTGTAGTAAGCTACACGTGTACATTTATTTAAAATAAATACAAAATCTTAACAATGATATCCAATTGATGATAATTCTCATTTAGTGAACATTCATTACGTTTGTAAAAGTTCACAATCCGAATCATCGTCAGATGAAATTGACAAATCCTTATCATCACTGTCATTATTAACACTTATTATAAAGTTCAGAAACATCAACCAATATAACTTCTCTTTTAAATTAATCACTTTCCACATCTTCACACACTTTCTTCCAGTTGTCAGCTGTAATTTTTTCAAATTCTTCATTTGCCAGTTTTCTAAGTAACATCTTCCATTTTAAATGTAACATTTCTTGCTGCTATGCGATTTAAATAAATAAAAAGGCGGTTTATTTATGTTGTAAAGTCTCAAATCTGATAATTTTCTGTGTGATTTGTGCTAACAATTTGATTGACAGTTATAATAAATAATGCGAATCTTGTCTTCCATGCTCAGGGTACCTCTATGGGTACGTTCCACTTAACGCCCGCAACGACCACGACGCCCGGCTGCCGTTCCACATAACGACCACAGTCGTTATGGTCGCAATCGCGACGTCAGATATGACGTCATTACTAGCGACCGCAACGAGCCCACGGCGCTCGCCTATCGTACCTGGGTCAGCGTGGGAGTTCTAATTTTATAACCTTACATTCTTGACAGGAGACATTTCTAGAGACATTTAACTGTCAGACACTAATTGTTTGAACACGCATGCGTTACAAATTTTTCGTTTTCGCTATGGAGAAAATATAATTACGTGTTTCAGTACGTAACCTTGTGGTGGACATCACTATGGATGTTCTACATGCACAAACGGGTAAGTATATATGCTGATTCGTGAATGTTAAAGTTATTTGTTAAGGAAAATTCTGCTCTAACACCATTTTCTTTATTGCAGATCTTAGATTTGCCACTAGTTTGCTGCAAAGTGCTTTACCAGGGAATGCGAATGAGACTCGTATAAATGGTAATGCAACGATTAATGAAAATGCATGTTTGTTTTGAATGAAGAAGAGAAATTGTTTTCAAAGCTGCATTCCCAAAAGAAATTCTGGGGAGAAGTGTTCATTATCATCGTATTAAGTATGGCCGCAACATTTATGATAGAAATTCAAAAGTCGTCTTCAATATTTTATTAACAAGAAGCCATATCTTGTGTAAAGCGAAGAAGTATGTGTCAATAATTGGTACTGAAAAATAAAAAAAATTTTACTAACTTAATGTGACTTTTGAATTCATAATCCACCCCACTTTCTATCCTTTACGCATTACGATCTCCTCAACGGCGTCCATGTTGGAAAACTGTTCACTCACGCGTGACGTCACACCGTACCCAAAAGCGTTCCACTTAAGGGTTCGCCCACAACGCCTCTAAGCTAGTGGAACGACAAAACCGCGGTCGCGGTCGTGATCGTTGTGGGCGTTAAGTGGAACGTACCCTATAAAGGATAGCGCTATACGTAATTAATGTGCCGAAAGTGATGGTAATAGATGGTACGTCCTTTTGAACTATGTTGGGGTATGGCTGTATCTATGTATTTATAGACATATCCACCGCACCTTTCGACATCCAAACGTAAAAAGTTCCCTATCTCTTTGACATCCGTTGACGTTTCGACATCCGATTTCGGATGTCGAAACGTTTTCCCGTGTTATTTCACTCTAGAGCCCCTAAGGGTGAGGGGGAAGCAATTTCAGGAAGATGTCGAAAAGATATGGTTGTAAAATTAATAAGTATATTTTAGTTCCGCGCTTTGCTGTGAAGAGCGCGCGCAGGAGCTTTGGTGTGTATATTGAATATACAAACGCAATGTCATAACTGCGACTGAATGACATCCAGCGTATAATTGAAAAAATGTACGATTCTACTCATAGCCCCTAACTACATCCGAAATTTGGCAATCGCGCTTTCTATAAATAAACTCCACGATATCTGCTTTTGCACCTATTTAGCAAAATAAACGGAAGAAGAATTACATTAACGTTTGGTGTATAATTAAAAGTTTATACTCTGCGAACTCTTTAACATCATCTATTTTATAGTCAATTAATACTTCTAAATGGGAAGAAATTAAGTTAGGTTCCACTCGCTGTTCTAATCCAAATTTCACTTTTGAATGTTATACGTTGTTGATATTCAGGCGATCCCCTATTTGTTATATATATATATATATATATTGATTCAGAGATAAAGAGAGAGTCAATAAATTGAATTGTAGCCATCTCAATAGAATTAGTACTATATTTTGAAAATCTCCTTTGAATTAAAAATTAAAAATAATTAAAATTGAAACCTATTTGCACCATTTTTAGCCAAAATGTTGCATCGTATTAACCATACACGAAATTTCGTTTTTGAATATTTCTGGTTATTGAACCACTTATTTGTTCTAAATAATGCTACAGACAAAATTATTTGAACCCTGACTTTTCTAATATTACTTGTACCATTTTAAAAGGAATTTTTCCAGTAAACATCCACTATTAGGTTTTTGTATCACTCTGCAACTATGAAGAGACCCCCGTTAAAATTAAAATTCACAAAAATCTATTTTGCACCTTTATTTAACATAAAAGGTTGCATCCGATTAACCTTAAACAAAATTTCGTTTTTGAATATTTCTGGTTATTGACCCCCTCCTATTTGTTCTAAATACTGGTACAGACAAATTCAATTGAACCCGAACTTTTCTAATATAATTTGTACCATTTTAAAAGGAATTTTTAAAATAAACTTCCACTACTAGGTTTTTGTATCACACTGCAGCTATGACGGGACCCCCAATAATATTAAAATTCATAAAAACCCATTTTGCACCTTTATTTAACTTAAAAGGTTGCATCCGATTAACCTTCAATGAAATTTCGTTTTTGAATATTTCTGGTTATTGACCCCCTCTGATTGGTTCTAAATACTGGTATAGACAAGATTATTTGAACCCTGACTTTTCTAATATTACTTGTACCATTTTAAAAGGAATTTTTCCAGTAAACATCCACTATTAGGTTTTTGTATCACTCTGCAACTAGGAAGAGACCCCGTTAAAATTAAAATTCACAAAAATCTATTTTGCACCTTTATTTAACTTAAAAGGTTGCATCCGATTAACCTTAAACAAAATTTCGTTTTTGAATATTTCTGGTTATTGACCCCCCCCTATTTGTTCTAAATACTGGTACAGACAAATCAATTGAACCCGAACTTTTCTAATATAATTTGTACCATTTTAAAAGGAATTTTTAAAATAAACTTCCACTACTAGGTTTTTGTATCACTCTGCAACTAGGAAGACTCCCGTTAAAATTAAAATTCACAAAAATCTATTTTGCACCTTTATTTAACTTAAAAGGTTGCATCCGATTAACCTTAAACGAAATTTCGTTTTTGAATATTTCTGGTTATTGACCCCCTCTGATTGGTTCTAAATACTGGTATAGACAAATTATTTGAACCCTGACTTTTCTAATATTACTTGTACCATTTTAAAAGGAATTTTTCCAGTAAACATCCACTATTAGGTTTTTGTATCACTCTGCAACTAGGAAGACTCCCGTTAAAATTAAAATTCACAAAAATCTATTTTGCACCTTTATTTAACTTAAAAGGTTGCATCCGATTAACCTTAAACGAAATTTCGTTTTTGAATATTCTGGTTATTCACCCCCTCTGATTGGTTCTAAATACTGGTATAGACAAATTATTTGAACCCTGACTTTTCTAATATTACTTGTACCATTTTAAAAGGAATTTTTCCAGTAAACATCCACTATTAGGTTTTTGTATCACTCTGCAACTAGGAAGAGACCCCCGTTAAAATTAAAATTCACAAAAATCTATTTCCCACCTTTATTTAACTTAAAAGGTTGCATCCGATTAACCTTAAACGAAATGTCGTTTTTTAATATTTCTGGTTATTGACCCCCTCCTATTTGTTCTAAATAGTGGTACAGACAAACTCAATTGTACCCTGACTTTTCTAATATTATTTGTACCATTTCGATAGGAATTATATTAAACTAAACATTCGCTATTCGATTTTTTGTCACTTGCAACTATGAAGCGACCCCCGATAAAATTCACAAAATCCTATTCTGTACCATTATTTAATTCAAAAGGTTGCACCCGATTAAATTTAAACGAAATTTGGTCTTTTGCATATTTTTGGTTGTTTGTCCCTCATTTATTTGTTCTAAATACTGGTACAAGCATCCATTTTTAGATCTTTGTACCACTCCGCAACCATAAGTTAGCTGTTACTATTAGTTTAGTGTGAAACTAGCATGTTAGATGAAATTCCTAAAAATTTCGACATTAATTACTGCGTACCCTATGGGAGCAAAGGCAAACGATGAAAAGTTAATAGATTAATATCCGACTTCATAAACTATGATTAGACAGACATATATAATCACCAACACCTAGACTTATAATCGAGGGGTGGCTAACATTTCAATATTTTTAATCATTGGCATAGAGTAAATTTTACTCTATGTCATTGTTTATGAAACCGGCCGTTTTGTTAAAAACAAAGCATAGAAAAAGTACCTATAATCTATTTTACTATAAAACATTGCTATTTGATCTCTGTCTTCCATAGTAAACCGTGCGATAACACTTTTAACGCCCTTGACACATTTACCTTTGGTTTGAACCTACCATCCGTATTTACTAGCCAGTAATCATGGCAACGTTGCAAGGATGTTATAAGGTATGTAAAATTTTTAATGATCTCACAAGATACACGGAATAAAAATTTATATACAGTATACACTGGAGTGCAAAGAGATAGGGAGAGAATTTTTTAAAAAATGTGTATGGTTTATTTTTTAAGGGCGCAATAGCCTCATATTGCAATTCAAAAAATATACTCTCATGGCCGCAAACTGATAACTGTATCGGAAAGGGTGGATGATGTCATATCGTCAAAATTTTTGCCGGATGTCGTAAAGTTCGTTGGTCGACTATATATATATATCTATGTAAATAATGTATGTCTCTTATGCCTGGCTAAACCGTTCATATGATTGCGATGATACTTTGCGGAATGGTTGGACGTAACGCCAGCGAAGGTTTCTGATATAGTAGAACGGGATTTTGCAAAGGCGATACGAAGTCCGCCGGGACTGCTAGTCACGTTGCGGTGACTTTAGAAAGTACTTAGGTCAAGGTGAAAGTGAAAGGACATTCGCGACACACGCGAAAATAATTAAAAAAAACGGCGTTTGATACCAAAATGTCTAAAATATCTGGGTTCTTTCACACTGAGTTCAGAAGTTTTCATTGGTCTAATGAGAAAACTGACCCAGTCTTGGTTTACTTTGTATCCGCTGATTCTTGTTCTACCCCTTAGTTGAGGAGAGCACCAAAAGTATAGTAAAAACAGCAGCGCTCGCCGTCGGCTCGTTGAAAGAAACGGAATTCGACATTCGTTTCAATCCGGACGTTTATTCTCCGGGTATTCGCCATTGCGAAAACTTAGATCCCGCCTTATCCAAACAGCGGCAGCTAATCAAAGACGCGGCCGACTTCTTGCTAACGGTTCAAATTCCTACCTTCGTAAGTTGCACCCCTAGAAAGACCACGGTTATTTTAATTTTTTTCAGATTCGCGATTGCCTGGATCACACTACGGCGCCGATGGACGGCTTCACGTTATCCGAGGCGATGCACAATCGCGGCATCAATATACGGTATTTGGGAAAGGTTTGCAATCTTCTAGGGAAGGTGAAGCAGTTGGAGTACTTGCACAGTATCGCCGCCGGGGAGCTCATCTTGCGCGGGCTTAAACACATCTTTACTGTCTACCTGCAGGGTACCGAGCTGATGAATGTTTCGGTCGCAGTGGCGCACTTTTTGAATTGTTTCTTGTACTCCGGCGTTATTAATAATCCACTTCAAGGTACGGAGGAGGTGAGTGCTCGCGAATAGATCGTGTAGTTCAAATTTTGCACACGCGTCAAGGTCGCCAAAAATGATCACGGCGAGAGAGGTACTCACTTGTGTATCAATTCTCCTGCCCGCTGTTTAGAGGTGCACCAGTTTTTGGTTCCTTGTGCTACTTCATACTTCAGTAGTACATACAAAAACGCTGGTTTGATATTTGGTAGCGGGTAACGGTTTTTTCGAATTCGTATTCTGATCAGTATAGGAAAATTTGCACATGTACCGCTTCCTAGCGAATGCGAACGAAAGTATGTCGAACGATAACAACGTGTACGTTTTCGTTAGAAGCGTGCGGTGCGAGATAAGCGAAAAGAGACCGGACTGTGCGGGGGTTGTCGGTGTATGAGATGAGGCTTTTGGAACAGTCGACACGTAATTATTTGGGTGCGTTGAAAATTAAATTCGAAGACGCGCGAATGTTTCTATCGTTGAAAATTGAATTTTGCCAACTATCGCATACCATTTTAAAGTGAAATTGAATTCCCAGCCAAGTTAACAAAAGCAGGTAAGTACCATCTTATGTACGAAAGATTTTAATTCGCGTGTGTGAAGTTTTCGTGCAAAATTCGAGAATCAGAACATGCATTTTATTGGGGTAGTTTCATACGGATAGTAGTAAAGAATTTCGGGAAAATATATATTAAGCAGCGAGTATTCCGAAATGTCGAATACATCGTGGATGAACATTTAAACAAATTCAGGTTCGTCACAAATTGCATCATATACATGTGGAAATAGACGAATTACAGTCAATTCCGTGGCAAATAAAAACTTTAGCATCCTGATTCGTAGCAAGGTCGTTTAGTTACTAGTGATAAAATTTTCTAAAAGGAACATTTTCGAGTTTGTGAACTGCTTTTAAACGCGAATCGCAAGTTAATAATCTGATAAACAAAGATTTTTTTTCGGATCGCTAACAGTACTTAATGGCTGGTTAAAAGCAAGTTCTTTAAAGTTGAGTGACGTGTTTGTGCGACAAATCAAATTTGTACGCAACGACATATGGCAGGGAATTTAAAGACATTCGGTGCATTTCACCTGTAACAAGACATAGTTAATAAATTGGGCGAAATTAATATCAACACAGGGAAACATTGGCATTTTATTGTTTTGCGTAATCACAAACTCGAGTGTTTCTCTCGTGAACTTAAAGCCGGTTTACTCGGATTCGCAATACGCAGGTCAGAGAGTGCACTGTACGATTGAAACGCTCTGTTTCCATATTTCTAAAGGGAGCGGCACCTTTTACGTTGCGGAAGTGATACTCTGGTTTGATTGAACTGGAATAAGAACACTTGTAAAATGGATTAATTGAATTTTATTTAAAAAATGAATCAACTTCAGTAGTCGACGGAGCAGTGCGCTAAACTTGGTGGAACGGTACGGAATCTCAAGCGCCACCAGGAGGTTGTCGATCCTTCCTCTTGGTCAACGACGCGGTAGCGATTTCCCAAAGCGGGAACGGAAGCACAAACGTGTTACTTACCTTATATAAAATTCCCAAATTTGTGGAAAGAACACCAGATTTTCCAGCCTGCCGTCCTACTCTGGTGATAACGTTCAAAAATTATAACTGTAACTAATTGCTTGATCCCCTGTTATAAAAATCTTGGACCAGTCTTAAAATTCATGATTAATTAGCTCACTTCCATACTTTCGTTCACGTTTACTCTGAAGCGGTATGTGTGTAAATTTCCCTATGTTGAACGAAATCTAAATTCGAAAAAAGTGATTGTAAAACTGCAAAGCGGCCACCCGTTACAGTACACATTTTAGGTTGTATGTGCGGGTGTCCGATTCACGGTGGAAATTTGTGTATCCTCTCGCATATGACCTTTGCTTTTTATGTACCTTTGTAAAATTTGGACTGCCACTTTAGCTACTCACAACTGAACCTAAAACTGTGGGCATTTTTAGTCGAAAAACAATCGAAAACGCAATAAACGTCGAGGGCGCACCAATCAATTTTCTTACGTCGACAGTAACGAATGGACGAATCTAACACCAAAAACCCTATGGTCTCAAATCAAAACGGAACTAAAATCGTATTTCGATTATGACCTGCTGGCGGGCGACATCGAATCGGCCATCGAGAAGTACTCCCTTCAAAAGGTCTCGCTGCTTCGCTCCTTCTGCCTTAAAACCGGTTTACAAATTTTACTGCGCGATTACAATTTCGATTCGAAAGCCAAGGTGATATTTTACGAGGAGGACATCTTAAACATATTCCCCGTCGTGCGGCACATCAACCCGAGAGCGACGGACGCCTACAATTTCTACACGACGGGCCAAAATAAAATTCAGCAGGGGTACCTGAAGGACGGCTACGAGCTGATTAGCGAAGCCCTCAATTTACTTAATAACGTCTACGGCGCCATGCATCCCGAGATCGCGCAGTGTCTGCGCATGATCGCGCGGCTAAATTACATTATGGGCGAGCATACCGAGGCGATGGCGTATCAGCAGAAGGCAGTATTAATGTCGGAACGAGTTAATGGCATCGATCATCCTTATACAATTACAGAATACGTAAGTCGCCAACATGATTCGCACTCGGTATAGTTTTCTGTTTCAGGCTCACTTAGCTTTGTACTGTTTTGCCAACAGCCAGGTCAGTACAGCTTTAAAATTGTTATATCGCGCGCGATACTTAGCGTTAATTGTTTGCGGGGAAAGTCATCCCGAAGTGGCCTTACTTGATGTGAGTATTCTTTTGTCTTTGTTTGCTACTTAGGCGTTGAGCCATGTGGTCAAAAATGGACGATTTGGTTTCCATTCGTCATGAAGGTAGGAGAAATGTTTGGTATGATACTTCGTAAAATTCGGTAGCTTAGTTATGACGTCACAAAGATGGCCGCCGGGCTAAAATTGTAGTTTATCATTCCAAAGTCTGGTTTGATTTGTAAGGATTAAGAGTGCCATACAAATATCGGTGCAGCATAATGCCAAGATTATTATTCAAGATGATATTTTGTAAAAATCGAAGGTATTGTGATGAACCCAGGCCAGCCCCGAGGGACAGCGCAACTCAAGATTTAAAATTCAAAACTTTCCCTCCCAAACTAACTGAACCCCATGGCACGTGATCGTCTAGTTAAAGCTACCCAACATGAATAACCAAATAATAGGACCATTTACTACGTTGTGTTTTTAAGAGTCGCTACGGAATATGTGTTGCCTGTCGGAGTGAGGATCAAGTAAGGAATACAAATAAAACAAGTACATGCTTTAAAAACGGAGATTTAATCCAAATAGTTCGCATTGCAAGATTAAATTTAGAAAATGGTAGTTCACCGAGTACAAATATAAAAATAGGCTGGGAAAAAAAGAACTGACCAAGAAAAAACCCAGCCAACAAATTAATATTGAACTTTATAGTAAAATTAGTTGTCTGTAATGGCATAAATGCATGTTGTCAAGTACATCAATACAATGTCGAACCCCAGGCTCCACTGGAATTCCTAAGGAATAAATATTACACACACATAACAAAAACAATCATTAAAACATTACCATAAATTCATATAATAGGTTTGGATATTGGATGGCCAGTCCAAATCCCACACCGAGTAGTCTTTAGTTGCTCTGGTCATGACATGTCAACATTGTATGAAATCGCTAGGAGTTGGCCTCTCAGAAGAGCCTTTCACATAGGAAGGATAATTCTTTAACACAACCATAAGGTCACAACGAGAACACGCTTTTAGCGAATCCCTGCGCAAGTGAGGCCGGGCCTAGCCAGCGCCCTCATGTACGACTAAGCGGGACCCCAACTCATTCATTCACACATCTCTAGGGCCAGTCCAACCCACTAGTCTTAAAATGCCGGGTTATAAATTACCGAACTCCAGGCTCTCTACCATGAGTACTGACAATAACCGATCAAAAGACAAATCATGACATAACATAAATAACAGAGTAACCAACGGCAAACTCGCACGCATACATAATTATAAACAAAATATACACAATTTATGTAGGCGTTGACATATTTGCACTGGCATAACAAAGACTGACACAAAACCAACATTCGGTCACTACATGTCAGGGATCGACTAATCGGATTGATTAAAAATATTGTCAGAATGCCTCTTTTTTTCAAAGACACAAAAAAACAATACATGAAACATAATCTCTGCGTATGTCAGTTCTGAACTTTAGCCAGCCTCTGCTACGTCTAATCGAGATTATATATCGACATCAAATATAGCACAGTACATATTCAAAACAAGTCACCCTGCCAAATATTAATAATCATAATCACCTGGTTCAAAGAAATAGTAGGAGCATAACTTTTAGTACCAGCACATTACAACAATACAAAGGAACATGTCGTGGTAAACATTGGTATCAAGTAATTAATTCACAATGCCAAGTGCAATATGTAACAATCAACCACCTAACGTACGTTACTCGCCCCCAGATGAGGCACCCTGTAAATACACAGTAACGTATTCATGCAAACAATAGCGAAATGCGCTGCAATAAACTCAATTATAAATTAAAATGTAGTTCTGCATACTTGTATTGAATATAGTCCCTAAGGGAACATACAGTATCTAAATATAAATAAAACACGTAAATCAGTCAGTAATTCACAGTAGGACCAGTATAATTCAAAGTGCAATTTGTATCTAGAATGTGCTATAAATGCCGATAATCATGCGGTACGGGAATAACATTAAATTGGCAAATAATCGAACACGATCATATTATTAGAGGGATGCAATAGACGTAGAGATAAAAAAAACGAGTACATCACCTTTGTAATTGTCGAAGCTGCACGCACTATTCGCAACGTAAAGATTTACTTCTGGTCTCAACAAAAGCACGAATACTTCTGCCGCATTCTCCCCCTTTTTTTTTTAAACAAATCCTAGACGAAAATTGAACGTGCTTCGAGCCGGGTCGATACGGGTCATTAAGTTTCCTCGCATAGCGTAATATTTGACACTTTTATTGTAAATTATGGCCCATTTCAATGTAGAGCAAAGAAGAAAAAAACACGTGTTCCACGAAAACGAAACAAAGCGCAATCTTGACCTTTTTCGTCGCGCCAGGATCGTATTCGGGAATATTTAAATCGAATTTTAGCGGGCTAATTCGGTTCCATCACAGTATAGTCAACCGTTAACTCAATTTTCATTTAAATTTAAGAAATATCATCTCAAACATTGATCCTGGCTTTATACTCCATTAAAATTTTTATGATACTTTTACTCCTTATACATGAAACCAGACTTTAGAATGCTTAACTACGATTTTCGCCCGGCGGCCATCTTTGTGACGTCATAAGTCATAAATTTACGAAGTATAATACCAAACATTTCTCCTACCTCATGACGAATCTAAATTTGTAGGTTGCACTTACTCCCCAGAAAGTAAACCGCACATGTCCTCTATCTCAACGTCTATCCTGATTTTTTTTTGGCAAAGAGCTTTTTTCTGTGGTTGTCAACTTAATGAACTCGTCATTTCAGAGCAATATAAGTTTAATCCTTCACGCCGTCGGCGAGTACGACCTATCACTACGGTTCCTCGAAAAAGCTCTAGCTTTAAATATCAAATACTACGGTGTCAAATCGCTTAAGGTGGCCGTCAGCTACCATTTGGTAGCGAGGACGCTCAGTTGCATGGGTAAATTCAGGGAGGCTCTCAACAATGAGAAGGAAGCATACACAATCTACAAACGACAGGTAAGATGTAGCAGCTTTGGAACGGACACTTAGTCGGAATTTTAGTTGGGAGACAATCACGAAAAAACCAAAGAATCGTCAGAGTGCTTGAAACACTTAACGCAGCAGGCGGTGGTTTTACAAAAGAAAATGAACGAGATTTACACTGGTAAAAATGGAGCTTCGATACCTCCGATTCAGATACAACCGCCTTCTATGGGATCTGTGTTAGATATGCTCAATGTCATTAATGGTATTTTGTTTGTTCAAATTAGGTGAGCTCAATACAGTTTGCAATTGTCATGACTAAATTTGTATTCCAGTCAAGAAGATATCGATAATTTCAAAGCGGAAATCGAGAAGCAAAACTTGAAAGAGCACACAGAGGAGCAGCAATGTGCAATCGAAAGTCATTAAAAATGCCAAACTATGGATTAGACCTTAGCATTTAAGTGTTGAATTTAGTTTAGATCGTAGCCGTTAGTTAAAAGATTGTAATCTCGACACCATTGATGTTTTTTTTATACGTAATTCGTTGGCAAATTTGCATATTTCATAATTTTGTTACCAAATTATAGGATTCAAATTTTTTCAGAAGTGTTAATTGTTTTTACATTAAATTTGGTTAAAAGAATTAGTGATATTTTTTGTATATAGAAACTTGTTGGTAGTTGCCTGTTTCGGCTGTCATATCCTTCCATTTCCCCTTTTTTTAAAATGATTCAAAAAATGCCGCCATTCCACAAAAATAAAACTAAATGAGCTTAATTTGGAAAGCCTATCATTTCCACATATTATTTTGTATGGGCTTTTCGTTCTTGCTTTAAAATTGTTCGGATTTCATGTCTGACGAACCATTCACAAACTACAGATTTGAATGGTGGGGAATTTAAAAATCACCTGGGATTGGTAGTACAAAAAGATATTAACCAATGAGAATTCAGACTCGTGCAGAATTCAAAACGCATGCGTACGTTATGGTAGTAACGTAAATAGACAATCTTGGAAGATTGTAAGTGTTCAAGAATTTACGAAGTATGTGAGGTCCTCTGCACCCTCTTGTACTTCCCATAATGGTCAAGAATTGAGACACGCCTCAATTTGGCACAATACTGTCGATAATAATTACGAGACATAAGGCTCGCATGAATACGAAAATGAAAAATTAAACTTTGGCTCTGAAAATATGGCCGCCCCAGGCTTCAACGAGCAGCATTGTCCTTGATAGGATTTTATCAGTCCCCTTTCTTTCATAGTCAAAGGTTACAATAAAATATTAGTGAGGTTCGGTTGGCTCAGAAATCTTGTATCAGAAGAATATAATTTGTGAGGAGATTGAAGGTTAGAATAAAATATTAGTGAGGTTAGGTTAGGTCAGAAATCTTGTATCAGGGGAATATAATGTGCGAGGAGATTGAAGGTTAGGATAAAATATTAGCGAGGTTAGGTTAGAGGGATAGTTAGATTAGGTCAAATTCGTTTGCGTCTAAAATTTGGACAAACTAATTTGCCCTAATAACCTCACTATATTTTACCCCAATCTTCAATCTCCTCGCACATTATATTCTCCTGATACAAGATTTCTGATCTAACCTAACTAGCACTCAACCCTAACCTAACTAATATTTTATCCTAACCTTCAATCTCCTCACACATTATATTCTCCTGATACAAGATTTCTCACTTAACCTAATGAGCACTCTAGCCTAACCTCACTCTCATACTTAATTTATCTGTGCCGGTGAGACATCTCCCACTATCTTTGAACGTTCCATGTGATAGTTTTGAGCCATCTGTCTTTTTGCTACTCCCTGTGTCTCTGAGACGTGTGTGGTGTCCGTGCCACTGGGTAAAGGTCATCGTGTTTCCTTCCTCCGACATCGATTGCAGAGACGCCGAAGAGCAGGAATGTAAGATAGGTAAATTTAGGGATGGGAATGTTGTTAGGGTGCTAAGAGGGAAGTTCTGCTCCAGCATTCGTGAGCGGGATTCAAACCCGCAACCTCCTGAGTAGCATCGGTGAGCGCAATCACTGCGCCTCGGTGGTTGGCACTTGGTGTGGGTAACTTTAATTTAAGATTAATATACATGGCGTTGATACAATTTAGGATATCTTACAAGTTTTGTGTACGTATTTACCAGTACCTAGTGGAACTTTCCACATATATTTTATATTCTAACAATTCGTGAAGTGTTTTATCTCATTTAAATCCGGTCTTGCGATAAGCAGATCGTTACCTCTCCGTAAGAGCTATAAATAACTTGGAAATGAGCAGGTGTCCCGTTTATTCAAAGGCGCATGTTCAGGTTGGACGAGAGGGGGAGTCGGCCGTTCTTTTGTTATGAATAAGCAAAGTTTACAAAAAGGGAAGAGTTGTTAAATAGGTGAGGGAGACGTTAAACGGGGATTTTTTTGTGAAAGACAGTCAGTCTTTGTGGTTGGAAAGTTCTTGCAGAACAAAGTTTAGATATTATAAGAGATTTTAATTTGTCGTAATGAAAGTGAATGTTTTAATTCGAATTAGGCACACGGGTTGTGACACGTCGAGTAATTTAGTGTGTTTAATCGAGCACAAAATACGACCCAGGACCTCGAAAAATGCAATGTTTTCTGCTTGTAGGCGGCGCCTCCACCCTCAAGTCTAATCGCGGTCCGCCGAGTTTTCTTCAAGTGCCACAGTTTGAGAGAACTTGTGATTCAATTCAAGACAGGTTCTATTTAAATTCTTTCAAAGGCAATTTACGTACATATTGAACTAAACCCATAGACTGTGGTGGCAGAAAATTGATTGGAAATTTAATAACTAGTCCCATACATCTCATAACGATCTATTAACATGAACAAATTAAGAGGAAACAGTCCGTTCTAAAATAAACGATTTTAGCACATGTTCGCAGGTGAATCGAATTGGAACCATCGTGTGCACCGGTCCATCGAGCATCTGTAAAAGGGGTTTCACAAAACAGGTCGTCGTTTCTAACTTTACCTTTTTCAGCTGCTGATTTTTACACGACAAGTCGGTTAGGTGCACAATCGGCTTCGACTTGGTAACGGTAGACGACTGACTGATTGGTTGCATATGACTAAACATGCTGGTGCTAACATTATCGATGTAAAGATCCAATGCCTCATTTTCGTCACTGTCGGTTCCGAGGCAAAATATTTCTTGTTTATCGGTGAGGAAAAATAATTGTGATGTTCGGCACCAGCTCAATAACGACTTTTGGGAATTACTTGGAATAAACACGGCGGCTACCACGTTTTCTTCTACCGATTGAGTGTGTAACGGTTTGGATGAACCAGGATAGAAGATGAATACTAAAACAAATTCGTGAAAATCAGCAAACGCAGCCAGCTTTCACTAACATTTCCTATCCGTCGTGAAGACAGCCATGTGCAAGTCAGTCGGATTCGGTATCAACAACGAAACCTGCAGCGGAACGGTCCAAACCATGCAGAGCGAAAGTAGATTCCACACGCTGAGGTCCGTTCGCGTGGCCGTTACCACTAGATGGCACTCGTTGTGTACGCCAAATTGCAAAGCGGTGATGTTCGATCGATTGTTAGGATGTACGAGCGAACACTTCAGTTCGCAGGTTTCGGGCAGCCACGTCGTCAGTACTGGGCCGAATCCAACGCTCAGAAGCGAACCGTCCGACGAAAACGCTACGGCTTCGCAGTCAAAGTTACGGTAGAAGCCGACGCGCGCACAGTTCCACGCCTTTTCTTCTTCTATAAAAAATTGAATTCTGTTACTTGCGACGCCATCTTGGATGTGAGGCGTCGCGTTCCCGTGACACCTAGACTAGGCCTAATAGGAAATTAGAAAACGTCATTAGACGTTATTTCGGTCTAAACACCAGAAATAATGGCGAGACACTATATATGTGAATATTTCAATTTATTGAAGTCTAAGAGATAAGCACAAATTTGGTTCATTGTATTTGAATTTGTATCTCAATGTTGTTTAAACTTGATCGCTTTTGTAAATTGTAGGGACATCTGGTCGTTCGCGATAAGTAATGCTGTCCCATCGTAATCGGGGCCTGTCCTTGACTGGGTATATGTGGAGTAAAGGATTCTCACAAGAGACCTCGGCGGATACTAGTCACATGTGATAGAGGGAGTAACTCTGACTTCCTTAAAAAAACCAATATCGCAAAGCTCTTTATGACCACATGATTTAGACCATGCGAACAAAATGTGAACCTTTGCAAGTAGTTCCGATAGATTGGCCCACTGCCAAAAAAGTCGAGAGAGTCAAGTCAAGATTTGAAGGGGGTACTGTAACGGGGTCAGGTATGCGTTTTATTTTACTGTTTAAAAATTTTATATTTTCGGTTCTCGGTCAATCCCTGTGCGAGAACGGCATTTTTTAAATCCCCTAAATACTTACTTCCAATAGAATCCACCTCCAGTATTTCCCACACTTTAAATTTCTTATCCCTGCCAATCGTCACGCACTTCAAAGCATCACCGTCATTCGGCTGAAAAAGTATTTCCGTAATACTCGCCTCGTGCGGAAACTCGATTGACGTATTCAACTCGAATCTGCGCGAAACGAATTAAAGCCCACCGTTTCTACACGACGCGCATCACTTACTGCTGTTTCACACTGTTGAAGCACCAAAATTTTAGGCGAAGCTCGAAGCTGTACTTGTCGTCGGGTCGTTCTTCCGCGGTCGCCAACCACAACCCCTGGCTGCTCACGGCGAATTTTGTAACGTTCGTATTTTCGATTACCACGTTTTGCTCCTGGCTCAATTTATTTTGATTTACGATGTCTAACTAAATAGAATTGTCAGTTACGAGTAGATGTACCACACCGGAAGCGGTTTGAGAATAACCGTGGCGTGACTAATTTTTAGTCAAGATTGTCTCAACTCAATTCTCAATGTCAACCAAGCACGTGGCATGATGTCACGGGCATGCGCAACTCACTTCCGGTTCGTTGTACTTACATTATAAAGCAAATTCATATCATACGGCGAGTAAAACTGTACATGCCCCGTAATTCCATTTAAAATCATCGCCTTCGTCCTGTGATCGTACGCGATGCCGCCGGAAAACCTCGTCCCCAACGCCAAATGCTGAACGACGCTAACGATGTGCATTGTCGAGTCCAAAACTTGAATCGCATTATCGGCGGTGGCGACGGCGATAAACTGGTTATCGGCGGAAACGGTGACATGCTCAAGCGTCGAGGGTAGACGGGGCAAAAACTGTTTCTCGTGCGAATTGTCCATGTACCACTTAACTAAGACATTCTCGCCTCCGCCACTGAAAAAGGTCGAACCGTAATGGGTGAAACTGAGGCATTGCACGGGAAGGGTGTGCCAATGGTAAACGGCTCGAGACGGCTGCTTGCTTTCCAGACCGTACCACAATATTATCATGCCGGCGCTGTCACCTGTAATTATGCATTCCTCGACAGGACTACAGGCCACGCACGTGAAGTACTTTGGCTTTTGGATGTGATATCTGCAAAAGAGTAACAGTTAACTCATGTGAAGTAACAAGGATTTTTTATTCCAATGATGAATTAAAAACAATGAAAAACATGTTCCTTTTCTGCTGTGATGTTAATGAACAATTCAAACATAATTGATTTTTTAATCGTTCTCCCTATCGAATTGGTCAAATTTGTAATGCATTTTTAATCGATGTCGATGAAAATGTTTGGGGACTGTCATTATAAAAAATGGAATGGATTTTATGAAATGATAATAATAATAATAATAATAATGCCTTTATTGAGCTACACCTTACACGAAAAAAAAAAGTTTGTTTTTATTACCAACTACTCACTACTCAAAGGGCGGAGTTCAGATTGTAATAAAAATTATTACTCCCTGCTCTTCCACTCAACCCAAAATTGAAAGTTTAAATGATGATACCATTAAAAAAAATAAAAAAAAAAAAAACAACGTAACTATACTACCTACTTACGGAAAGAAAAAGAAAGTAACTATACTACTGATGATCTTAAGAAAAGACGAAGAGAAAAAAAAAAGAAAACACACATTTGAACTACAGATAACAATTGCAACTACAGATAACAATTGCAACATCACCTGGCTACTGTGCTTGCTTTTGTTGTATGAACATCTTGCAGTTCCTCTTAAACTGTTTTAAAGAAAGTGATTTGAGATTTAGAGGGAGTGGGTTATAACTCTTGTAGATGTTGTAACTAAAGCATCTTTGAAATAAAGCTGTTTGATGGAGTGGCGGACTTACTAAACCCCTAAATCTCAAATTTAAATTATGTACGTCGGTTCTATAGGTTATTTTATCATGGAGGTACGCCGGTGTCTTATTTAGGATGATAGAATGGTAAAGCACAAGACTATGATGCAGTCTCCTATTTTTCATATTGAGCCAATTTAAATCTTTCAATTTATACGTGATTCTATCATATTTCCTTATGCCGAAAATTAATCGCATACAACCATTCTGCAACTTTTGAATGCGCCGTTCATCATTAGTATCTAGACAAGTATTATAAAGTATATCACAGTAATTCAACTTAGAAAGGACTAGAGATTCACAAAGAAGAGTTTTTATGTTTGTATTTAAAGAGTGTCTAATAGAGTAAATCTTTTTAAGATTGCCGTAGGCTTTTTGGAGACAAATAGAAATATGGTTTTTAAAACGCAATTTATTATCAAGATTAAGACCTAAATTAGTTACAACATCTTTAAAAGTAATCGCTTCATTCCTAATATTAATATTGATTTGAGACATTAGCATTTCCCGCTGATTTGCGCCGCTGAACAATATTGCAATAGATTTGCTTGAATTTAAATGTAGAGAGTGAGATTGAAATGTGTTTTGCAAAGCATCTAGGTCTGCGTTTATGCGTTTACAAGCGTTACCTACATCTGCAGCTGGAAATGAATAGTAGATCTGCGTATCATCAGCATAAGAATGTAATGTGGTATATTGAAGACAATTTACTATGGTGCATGTGTAAATAAGAAACAATAATGGTCCAAGAATGGACCCTTGTGGTACTCCCCGGGTGACATTTTTAAAAGTCGATATTTTACCTGAGATTTTAACTGCTTGTTTCCTGTTGGAAAGATAACTGTCAATCAAGGCTATGGCTCCCGGACTGAAACGTACGTAATGTAAAATAGCTAGAAGCATGGCGTGATCTAACGTATCAAATGCTTTAGAGAGATCTAGCAAAACAAGAATAGTTGCTTTCCCCTGGTCCAGTGCGGAAATTATATCATCTACAATTTTCAAAAGAGCAGTGCAACAACTGTGCATAGATCTGAATCCAGATTGGACATCCGGGATTAATTTATTTAAGGACAAATGAGTTCTAATTTGTTTTTCAATTACTTTTTCTAAGATTTTCGATAAAGTTGGTAGAATACTGATTGGACGAAAATCATTTAGATTAGATGGAGATAATTTCTTAGCTACAGTGATAATATAAGCAAGTTTCCATTGTGCCGGAAATAGCGAATTTCTTAAGCAAAAGTTGATCATGTGTACTATAAACTTAAGTAGATACGGTACACAAAGTTTGATAATTCTTAAATTAATACCATCTACTCCAGTGGCTGTAGATTTCATAGCGTTAATAACCTTAAGCACTTCGTCTTCAGTAGTTGGTTGGAAAATAAGAACAGAACTTGCTGGGTGTTTTGTATTATTTAGGTAAAACTGTAGTTGTAACTGATTGTTAAATTTGCGATTAGGTACAGCATTTAAAAAATGTTCATTAAAGTCGTTAGGGTTTGACAGATCTTCCGGTATTTCCGTTTGTTCACGTTTTGAATGTGTTAGTTTTAGTATATCCTGCCACAGAATTTTAAAATTAGTTGTGTTGTATGGGTGATCAAAGTACGCCTTCTTTTCACGTCGAATCGCACTGTTGGTCTCATTACGTAGCTGTTTGTAAAATTCCCAATTCCGATCTAACCTAGTTCTTTTAAATTTAGACAAAGCCGAGTCACGTAAATGCATCATTTGTTTAATAGTATCAGTTAACCACGGAGAGAATGATTTTATAATACGAGATGATTTGAATGGCGCATGTATGTCGAGTAAAGTAGTTATATTTTCTTCAAAAAAAGTTACCTTCCCTTCAATTGTGGATATGTCATAAATGTTTCGCCAAGGAATAGATTGTAGATGATATGTAAATTGTAAATAGTTAAATTCGTTAAAACTCCGGTGTGTAATAATTTTAGAAGACTTGTTGAAAGTTATGGTAAGAACACAATAAGTCAGTAAGTGGTCAGTTACTTTGTCCAGATTTATTACCCCAGATTGCGCGACTATTTCCCTGCAGTTGGTGAGAATTAAATCTAATATCGTTGCAGAATTTTGGGTAATGCGGGTAGGCTCATTTATAAGTTGACATATGTTTAGACCTTCAAGAATAGAATTGAATTCATATGAAGCAGTGCTACTTTGGCTTAAGTCGATATTAAAGTCTCCTAAACAAAACACCGACTCATACTCAGTTAACATAAGACTTAGAATATATTCAAATTCATCCAAAAAGATAGTAAATGAGGAATTAGGAGATCTATAAATCACACCAAATATGTACACTTTATTATGAATTTTAACGGCTATCCAAAGTTGTTCAATTTTATCATTTGTTTGGAGTACGTCGTATTTCAAGCTATTCTTGATGTAAAACCCAACACCTCCACCTCTTCCTGCTAGGCGATCACAACGCACAAACGAGTAGCCAGTTATGTGCACAAGCCGATCATTAACTTCTGGTTTTAACCATGACTCGGTTATACCAACAACATCATAATCCTCCAGTAATACATGATTTTGAAAATCTAAGAAATTGCTAACCAATGAACGTATATTTACATCTGCTAACTTCAGAGTTTAAATGATCGTCGAAGCGTAAAGACGTATTTTGGGAGTGCGCACAAAGTGTGTGATAATTGGGAATTCCAGCCTGTTTGCGGCCTCAGTGAGTTATTCAAGTCTTTATAAATTGCATAGTTACCATATCCTGATATTAATCTGCATCATCATCTTGTAACTAACTGCTTCACCATGGTACTCACGCAATCACAAACACAAGATGTACAAGGGTTGCTAGAAAACTTTGTTACAAGTAATGATGTTATTTCACAAATCGCAGCTAGTGTAGCAAAAATAGTTGAAGTCAACTTACAAAAAACTTTTGCCAATCAAAACCAAATCATCGCGCAAATGCAAGGCGAGATAAGTCAACTTAAAGTGGAAAATGGTGCTTTAAGCAGCGAAAACAAAGCTCTGAAAGCCGAGTTAGATGTACTTCAACAATATAGCAGAAGGAATAATGTGCGTATTCTTGGTATCAAGGAGACCGTAAATGAAAATCTAGACGAAATTGTCATAAACTTATTCAAAAGCAAACTTAATGTAAACCTTGAAATCGATCACATTGATCGCATGCATCGTGTGGGAAAACCTACTTCCGGGTCAAGCCGTCAAATAATTGTCAAGTTTACGAGTTACCGATATCGTAAGTTGGTGTTTGATAACAAGAAACTTCTAAAAGGCACGGGGATTCGCATTGCTGAAGATTTAACAAAAACCCGGTTAATGCTTCTTAAGGAAGCGATATCTAGATACCCTAGAGAAAATGTGTGGAGCTTTGACGGAAACATATGGGTAAACACTGGAGGCAAGAAAATTTTAATTAGAAGTGTGGCAGAGTTTCCTAAATCGGTGAAATAGTTATGTGAAGTGCCGCATTCCCAAATAACGCTACAATTCGGATTCATTGTTATTCGTTACGAATTTGAACTTTGGTTTTTCCTTCTAAAAACTTATTCCATACCTAACACAACTTTTATTTTTACAAAAAAATGTGTAAGGGAATGAACATTACATTTTTCTTTTTTTCCTGATAGTTTTTTCAAACACCCCCCCCCCCCCTTCCCCTGTGCCTTTGCCATGTGTATCATAATTTTTTGGAAAATTCCGCGTCTTTATAAAAAACTATGACAGAGTCCTTAGGCCTGAACGTTTTGTGGAAGAATGCAGCACAGAGGGGTGTGGGGGGGTATGGAACACCACCCAGCTCACACACCCCATTACCATTTCCAGAAAGTCTTTAATACCTAATGTTATACAGAAACTCTTGCTAAAACCTTGTTTCTTTTAATATAATTTTCCCGAGCGCTCAAAGATCAAATGAGGTCATTGAACTTTAGTGTCACCGGGAATAAAATGGGGGATACCTTGAAAGTGAAATTTGTTACAAATAACTACCGAAACATTTTTTTTAGTAGTTTGATCAATAGAAGTCGTCGATGTAATGGGTATCCCACCCACAATGGAGCACTGTCTGTATGTCTGCCTACCTACGTATTCTCTTCCATTGATTGCATAATGCTATACTTAGTAATGACGCCATAATACTAATCCTAAGTACATACTATACAAAAAATTTTTAACAATTGTAGGACCGAATGATTAATATACTTATATTAATCTTCACCCAAATCAAGTGGTTTTTCATTAACAGTAAAAAAAGATCAATGAAAAAGGTAAGTCAATATAAAATCAATCAACTGAACTAGCCGCCTTTATTTTGTATATGGGCGGAGTTTCAGTCAAGGCTCCTCTATCAACCCAACCCAATTCATTCAAGCCGTACAAGATAAATTTCTAATTTATTGTAGCTTATCTTGCATTATGCAATCATTTGTTTCTATTAGTTTTGTCCTTAGACCATATAGTACATGGACTGCTAATTGTAACTAAAATATGGTCAAGGACATCGCCTGGGTATGTGAGTTTCAGGGTAAACGAGTCTGTCCGAAGTTGTCCGATGAGACACGATTTGAGACTGTCAACCTATAAATTAACAAACGTCAATTAATGAATCGCCTAGATATCCCAAAAAAAGCAAACTTATTCTTATTTGTGGACGTATAGCAAATAATAAAGAGTATTTAAAGCTTCCCGTACTACGCGGTTACTATAAAGCTGTTCTTTAAGCGATCCTAGTGGTGTTTACACGACTTTAGTTTACCCTGAGATTCACATACCCACGACTACAGTGCCCTCTATCCGTGACCATCCATTTTGTATTGAAAGCATAGGGCGAATAGCAGTCCATGTACTATATGGTCTAAGGTTTTGTCATTGCTATTCTTACTGTCAACTTAAAAAATGACAGTCAATTTGAGTTGACAACGGTCACATCACGCCATCCTGATTTTGCATCAAAATACGTACTCATAGATTCGTCCATTGAGAAACTTGGTGTAATACAACTGGTTGCCGCAAGTGGCCGCCATGAAGGGCGACTGGGAATGTGCATCGCTCGAGACCGAAACATCGTACTTACTGCCGACCTTAAGCTTCACTTGAACATTACGAAGTTCGTGGTTTTCCGTATTAAACAAACCGAAGCGTATGGATTTGTTCGACAACCACGAAACTAGAAACCTGCAGTGTGTCCCGTCGCTGATTTGATCGACGAATTGAAACGACTCGATTTGGGCGTCGTTGGGAAGGCGCTAGAAAACTGGGATTACTTACGTATGTACCGAAGGCGTCAGCGTACCTGCTTTAGAAGGCGAAGTCCCACATCGGCTTTCCAAGATATCAGCTCGCCTCGTACCGAGCAGGCCGTGACGACCTCCACATTTTTGAAGTGGTGCACGCAGAAGTCGGCCACGGAATCGCGCAACCCCTTGAACGACTTTAAACGTTTCGCAGTCTTTGTGTTGTACGACACGATGGTGTTTTTCCAAGCCACATAAATTGTACTGAAAAATTGGAGGTTAGGTGAGATGACGAAAGTGATTTAACTCACCAGCCGTCTAGGGAGAACTTTGGCGGTTTATTTACAAAGGAGCCGCCTCCTTTGAAATTAATTTTGGGTTCCATTTAGTCAAAATTTACATTTTGTGGAGCACGTGCGTTTGATGTTTATATTAGTCGCCAATGTTCGACGACCCGAATTCGTGATTCGTGAATTATGAATTTTATGGTTTCGAGCGGTAAATTTGAAAATGAAATCAGTGGTTCTCAAAGAGGATCATACTCTGAAACGTTTCTATGAATGCAACGTATTTAACTGCAATGTTAAGACCTAATTTTATATTAGATTCTCCTTCTTTAATCTCGTTTTTCGCCTTTTCGGGGTTTAAATACTCATCCTGGCCTTCCGATCGGCAGGTCCAAAACAATAATCTATCCCAATGACACCGGCAGTTCAATTTCAATCCCAATTTCATAATTTAAACCTTTAACATAAATAAATAACATCTATGCAAAAGTAAACAAGAATTTGAGGTTACATTTCGATAAATACAAGAATCGACTTTAACGATGTTTCAAAACAGTCAATGCGAAAGTTTAATTACTTTCTTACGATTATGTTCTCCTGATAGTAGGGATAGCGATTATCATGGTCTATATATAAAAAAAATGGCCGGTTTTTTTCTGAAAGTCGAGTATGCGGGGTTGCCTACATATCAGGGTGCATACTTATGAAAAACAGTAAAAATGCAAATTTTCAAGCTATACGGTATTTCATTGAATCCAAAATGCCACTTATAACACCAAAAACCCTTATTTTATACAGAGCTGTCACAAATCGTTTAAAAAACGATTTAAATCAAAGATCAAAGATGCATTTCATTTTAACAAATGATTTAAATCAAAGATACTTTTGTCAATAAGAAAGTATTTAGATAATAAATCATTTTGAGATTTAAATATTTTTTGTGATTTAAATCTTTTTAGAAAGTATTTAAGATACTTTCAATGTATTTAATTCATTCAAAAAGGTTTAAATCTAATTTTGTTAATTTAAATCACGTATATAGATTTAAATAATGTAATGATGTAATGATTTAAATCTTTTCCGATGATTTAATCGTTTTGTGACAAAAGGTTTGTAAAGGATTTAAATTCAATAAAACTGATTGGTCTGATGATCTTGCTCGAAACCCATTCATCAATATACTTACCATTTCTACCGTATTTTATTGTTATTATTTATTAAATTAAAATATGTACCTATTTTTTTGCGAAAGAACTTTTAAAAAACCAAGACATCGTCAATCTCAGTAGGTATACTCGATTTTGTAATAAATACATATAAACGTCTACCGAAATAAAACCCGGGTTAATTAGCTTAGTCAGGTTGAAATAAATCAAGAGAATTTGTTAGTATGTATTAATTAAATCGTCTCTAAAAGATTTAAATCACTCGGAAACGATTTAAATCTTTTCGAAAGTATTTAAATCTTTTTAAAAGATTTAAATCATTTTTTAAGTTCAAAATCAAAGATAGTTTTCATGAAGATTTAAATCTTAAATCAAAAATCATTTTCCGTAAAAAGATTTAAGATCAAATGATTTAAATCGAAAAAAGTATTTAAATCATAAAAAAGATTTAAATCTTATTAAAAGTGACAGCTCTGATTTTATAGGACTATATGCGTTACACATTATAATTTTCGTAATAATTACGCGCGTAAACAGCAATCAATTTTTATTATGTAAAAATTGGCAACACGAAACTCTAGTGACCGGTGATATTTGTCGCAAGTTATGTATTATGTACGCACTACATAAATGTAGTAAAATATAGTAAAATTAGACAACAGCAGTACGTTTTTTTTAAACTAGAAGTTATGCCAAAATCATAAGGCCAAAATACATAGATAGCAGATACCTATATAAATAGATATATAAATACGTTTATTTTATTTTATGAAAATGGATATGTAATTTTGAGGATTGGAAAATGATGTGAAGGCATCTGAGAGAAGGTTTTAAAGATTTTGAAGACAGCCTCAGGCGGTCTCGACGGAAACTGAATTATATGAAAAGTACTTCCCAAGTATGAAAAATGCACTCAATGTTTTTGTTTTAAATGACAGTTCGGTGAATTGTTTTCTAACCTCATTTAATCCATAGTTCCAAATTTAAATCATGTAAACCATTTATATGAAAAATTGCGAAAATGATGGCAAAATCTGAAATTGAATTGAAAAATTTCTTCATTTTTAGTTCCTCCTATGAATCTAAAGAAGGAGAGGTTTGTCGAAGTCTAATTATTCATCGTGTTCACCTCAAGTCTTGTAGGAATACAACAAAGTGCTATATTACTATCCACCCACCGATGACATAAACACGCAAGTTAATAACGTAGGTCTAGTAGAGGCCATAATTAAATTTACAGGGTAGCGGAACTAGCCAATGGTTTTCGTTATTAACATTTCAATTTTAGGAATTTCAAACCGAGCGGGCCTTTGAACTCTCTTCATACGCTGAAGAAACGACAGCTGTACTTCGAGCCAGAGCCAAATTACTGGATGGTGATTGTGAGTGGCTATTTGTATATAGCTGACAGTATAGAACTGAAGTTTTAGACGATTAATCTTCCCTTCATCAACAAAGGTAGTAACGAATCTACGGTAGTCGAGTACATTGAAGAGGACGTGCATGATACAATTTATAAAGCAGTTTTGAAGCAGGCGTATGCTATGTATCGTTTGTTTTCGGGCACGTACACAAGCACCGAGCGGGAATATTCCATAACCGCTCTTCGGAACAAGTTCGAGCATTTCTACACAGCCGTAAGCGTACCTTTCGCACAATCGAATTGTAATAATCTCGCTTTAGTATCTGAAAACCTTAAATCTAAGCAACTGCGATATATTAAACGTATTTTCGGGCATACACTTCCTACCGTTAGATAAGCAGAACTTTCTCAACGTGCAGTGCTTTATCAACGCTTTAGAATGCAACTATCCCATTATTGAGTATGTGTCGTTTTTGTTTAACGACAGCCTAATTTGGTGAGTCGATTTATGAAGTTAAGACTGAAGGGTAGTAATTCGGTCAGTCATGGAAATGACGTCATTGTGTTGAGGTCGAATTAGGGTCAAATAGGCGTACTAGATTTTCTCTCGCTCGGGTGGAAAGGGTACTATACTGCATTCATTATAAGAAGGTAGTAGATGGCGCTGTGTTTGAAGGTAAGCACACACAGGAAAAATATAAAACGGCACCAAGTTATTGTAAAGTAGAAATATCCACTGCAAACAGAAATAAATCTTTGAGATTAACAGATAATGGCATTTTCAAAGTATTAGTCTGTAAAAAAATCAGCGTCATTCATCCAACCGTTACGGCCTCGGTTACGGCGTTACCTAGTTGTCCATAGAAAGTTCAGGAAAAACCGACTAAGAATTGTTTTTTACAGTTATCAAATGTTTGCGATTTTTTTATAGTTATTTACATAAGTCATGAAAGCGGTCGTTTACATGACGCGGAGGCTTATTGAAAAGTACGAGGACGCGCAACGTCCGAGTATCTCTTTAATGCCTCCAAGTCAGGTGGACTCACTTTCATGACATATTATGTATAAAATTTTACCTGAAACCGCAACATGTAGATAACTTTTCCAAATTAAATTATTCAAATGTGAAATTTTGATACCTAATCACGCATGCTAAAATCACTTTATTTAATTGTTTCCATAGAGATTTCAAAATAATGAAAACAATCAGTGTCATTTTTAATGCAGTTTGCAGTTTATCCTTTGTACTTCTCAACTATACAGTCTTAATAACTAGGTACAAAAGCAGGTATCAGTGAAGAAGAGTACCTACGCGAGACGTTGTTATAATATAGCTGAAGCTGCGGCCGCCGTAGTGCAATGTTCGCTCCCCACAAAGTCAAGAAAGAGGTACGAAAAGGCGTACAAACCTTTTGGTGCAAAACTAAAGGAATAATTACTTCCACGCATATTCCATTAATTGTTCGTAATTAAAAAACCATTATCTTTTGTGTAGGTATATTAATATTTAAAAATATCCACATAGTCTGCATTATAATATTATCCAATCGTTGATTGAATAACTTATTCAATGAACGATCTAATTGTTATTTTGCATGTACTAGGACTGTAATGGGAGTCAGGCAAAAATATTACAGTACTAGTCAGGTAAAGATCAACTTTCTAATGTCAAAATAGTCCTGAAATTTAGATTTTCTTGACGGTTTCAGGTAAACTATTTTTTTAAGAGGTATTATCAACGTTCATTTGGTGTATAACTTATTTTCTCAAAAAAGAACCATTTAAAATTGGTACCGCATCTGCGCCTTAAGTCATATGACCTGAGGTGGCAGACATGCCAAAGTGGAACTCCGTTGGTTAAAATTTTGATCATCCTCGGTCAGTGGAGTGCGAGCTAGATCTCCCACTATAATAGTAAGGGAAGGCTTCTTAGCGCGATGGTGACACTAACTTGGGCGTATTCCTTATACGTCTCGGTGAGTGCTATAAACGCATTGACGTTTTCGCCGCAAAATGAGCTGTGGAACGGGAGGCGTTTCCACTTTCCTTCGGTATTGCGGGCGGATTGTTCTTTAATCCCTGCATAAGCGATTAACGAGGCGGGACTAGACTGAGTAATTGGGGAAAGCATGAACCGACTCCCTACTTACAGCGTCACGCGCACCTTGCGAGTATTATATAGTTTTGTGCCCTTCCACTGTCACGGAGTGACGTCATTCGCATGCACGAAGTTATCTCTTCAGTCTTAGAATCGCGAGTTGAGATCTCTTCAATTGTAGGAGCGGTATCGAGCCGGACGACACCCAAATCATTTACCAATACTTAATCAGCACTTTACTTCCGGCGAACATCGAGACCGAACTCCAAGGCGGTTCGATACCCAGAAACCCTTCCTCTCCTTTCGCCTCCCTACACTACGGCCGTTTCATAACGGGTCCTACGAACTTGAAGACGGCGCACACGATCGGCAAAGTGCCGAAGATCTTCTTAAACAACGAGGCGAACCCCTCCGTTTACTATTTCATAGTGTACAGGGCGCTTAACGCCACAATTTGCCTCTTTGTTAACGGTACATTATGGCGAACGTGTGAGTACGGCTTAACATTCGAGTTTTAGGTGGCGTCGATTTAACAGTCGAGCTCTTCAAGGAGCTGGACGCGTTTATGGGCCAGCGCTTGTCGTCGATCGCGTCCGATATCGGCGAGTACTGCACGAGGAGCATAATTCCGCCGAGTAGTTCCGATACGTCGCCCCGTTTCATCTACTTTAACAAGCTCAATTTGGCGTACAAGAGCACGATCCACTTGGACAATCGGCAGAGCGGCAACGTCTCGTGCGGTAAGGAGTTGGTGCAAATCATGGCCGATATGAACAGCAGGAAGGAGTCGCTGTCGTTTGCCGGGGAGACGATCGTGAAGACTATGAACGATTACTGGGTCGTCGGGAAGGTGTCGAATTTGCGCGAGTTTTACGTCGCCTTGCAGCATAAGAACGCCAGCTTGATCGATATTAGTGGTAAGCCGGCGGTTTTACTTGTGATAAGCTCACTTGTGATGTGTCGTTTAGGGTTGTTAGGCAAGATAGTTGGCAATAGCTTGATTATTTGGGAAATTTATGATATGATGGATGTCATAGATTGTGTAAATAGTATCCGACCACAAAATTGTATTAATGTCGCGCAAGGTTTGTATGTCTTGAGTTTGCTGTTCTTGCTTTAATAAGGGGCGTAGCTAAGAGAGACAGGTTACAGGAGGTACAGACCACCTGTTCCCCTTTTTGGATACGTTCTTCGTCTAACAGCATCTTGCCAAGTTTTATTTTTAAAGGTGTGTGGTCAATATGTGCCTTTGCTTGTTTCTGGGGGGGGGGGGGGGGGGGAACATGGGGCTCATAAATGCACTAGGCGTAACGAGGATACACTTCCCCCCAACCTACTCCCTTTCTTTACATATCCCTCACGCTTTCATCATGCTTTCTGCACGTTACGCTCAAATCTACCCCTAAATCTAAATGGTAAATGGTAGCTCGTAAACAGAATGATATCGTAGCTGACACTGGTGACATAATAATAAGGTCGCAACGGCCTCCTTACAATGATACGGAGAAAATAAATCCTGAAATTGCAGATTGGAACATTCGGACGGTAAAAAACGGTGAATGTGCATGCACTTATACTAGTTTTGGAGTTACGTATTCCAACAATCAAGTTCAATCCCTTTTTGTTCACCAACGGCGACACATCTGAATTTATTTGTAGGGAAAAATAACCCAGCGCGTTTAATTGATCTGTCCTTGACCGAATACGACTCCAATTATGTAATGAAGACGCGCGTATTTCACACTTCTTCTGGTTGCACGATTATTCTCTTTAGTATCAGGCGGAAAAACGGAAAACTCCAGGGAGCGGGCGGTCGGTCGCTGGCGAAAAATCTAAAACAGAATTACGGCACACGGAAACGGTAACGATTTCGCAAAGCGAGAAAACAAATCCCCTTAATGCCTAAAATAGGTTCTTGTCTTAGTGTGTCTCGTGTGGTTTAAAAACGCCCCATTTTCAGTTAAGCATTTATTGTGCTCCAGTGCTTGTATCATCTACAATCAGTCACAATGTAAGTACCAGTTTGATTTTTATTTTATTTGTTTTACAATTATAATCCACTGTCGCGACCTTGCACCATAAAACAAGGTCACGCCTTAGTTATCGCAACCGAACCACGAGTAAAACGGGGGGGGGGCACCGGCGGGAAGGGGATACGGTTTCGGTATTGCGTATTTCAAATCTCTGACACGCCTTTTTTGTCTCGTACACCATACCCTTTAAGCTTTCTTCCCCCTAGTTTAGCACTTTCGCCCAACTTTCGATATGTTTGCTTAACATTTCTCTTTCGGCATGTCATCGTCACGCTTTCCCTGTACCTGTACGTATTTACGTTTTCTACTCCCTTTTTTTACGCCTTTTGCCAAACTTCTTTTTCACGCGCGCTTTAACTACCTTTTACACTTCATGGTTCCTACACGACGCAAGGAACGCCTCCTCCATGCGAACACCACAATTTCGGCTTCATACTCTTAAAGTTGCTTTACATCTCCCATCATTTATTTAATTTTTCTTGCGCTTCTTTTAAATTGCTCCCCACTGTTTTACACCTGATACCCGCTTCAAACATCCCTTGCGCTTTTTGCATACATTCCTTGCGCCCCAAGTACCTTTCCTTGACCTTCCTTGCCACCTTAAGGATCGCGTGCACTTCATTTGCATTTTCTTCACTCCTCTATCGCGCCTTTTAACTTTTCCTCTCCGATTATTTAGCACTTTCTTGACCCGCATTATGTTCGCTTCAAACCCCTCTCACATTCAGAACGTCTCCCTCACCTCTTTTTTACATCGGCTCCTCCCATTTGTCACTTGGTTAACATCTATGGAGTGTTTCATACACCCCCCCGCTCCTCCCCGTGCTACATTCTCCCTCGAAACGTTCAGCTATACACATTCTTTCAAAAAAATATTGGGTTAGCGCTAAGGACTCTAGATCTCTTAGGCAAGAATGTAGAATTGGGGGGGGGGGGGGGTATCGAATAACCCTCAGGGAAAAAAGACAAACAATCTTCATTTCGTACATCGGTCATAAGATATTCATATGCTGGGGAGTATTCTATACGCCCCTGAGCTGAACGGTCTGAGGGCGACGTAGCACCGAAGGGTCTGTGGGGGTATCTCCCCAGTATACGACTACGATCTTATGGCCATTGTAGGACAATGAAGATTAATTCGTATCCCCCAGACCTCCCGCTTCTACACTTGCCCTAAGAGATTTAAACTCCTTAGCGCTAACTCAACATTTTTTGGAAAGAATGTTTTATTTATTTTTTATTTATTAATTTGTTTATAGCTGAACGTTCCGAGGGGGAAGTATTCCTACGTTCTTCTTCGAAACGTGCAGCTATAAAGACTTACCAAAGAATGTGATAGTTACAGAAAATTTAGAACAGGGGTATTCCACCCTCCTCCCATTTACCCTACTACAACGGTCGTAAGGTATCCTCCCAGGCTCTCTCTCTCTCTCTGTCTTTCTCTCGCTGATCCTCCCTCCCCCCATCATAGCGCTGCTTATACAATCTTCCCAAGCATTTTTGAAACCTCCCTTAAATCTCCTTTTTGATAGTTCACATGTCTTCCTTGAAACCACCCTTAGGTAAGTCTTATCAGTATGATCAGAGGCATGTTTGTGTGATTGAACACTAATTCTTAATACTAACTACTTTACCATTAATGTTTGTAGAGTATGTTTAACTGTAATATTGGTTTTATTTGCAGATGAAGTGAAGAAAATTTGTGACACGGAATTGAAAGGAATTTTTTTTCATCCAATGTAATAAACGAATACTATTGTGATCTGAATTTTTTTCCACCACCGAACCCGTTCCGCTTGAAAAACCTTGACCTACTGCATACTCTGGCAGGAAACAAAACAAAACATTCCTTTTAAATGATAAAAACTCTTCTGAATGACGCCTAATTTTATGCAACCAAAATAACTTCTTGAAACAAATAAAGATCTGGCTGTGATATTAATTATTAATTGGTCTAAAGTAATTCCCATCTCTGCCACAGATGAAAAATTCACCTCAACCGAGGTTTGAACATCCGACCTCCGGATTTATAGCCCAACCCTCTACCATTGAACCACAAGTCGGATTTTCGTTGCATAAAGCTAGGCGTCCTTTAGAAGACTTTGTATCATTTAAAAGTAGACATAGGAAATCCCTATGTCTACTTCTAGATGAATATTATTGTATATTATATAAGGTGGACCTGAATCTTGCTGTAAAATGGGTTGCCTAACGCACTGTTCGTTTGATTTACACACACACACACAGCTGACAACAACTTTATTTGCCTTAGTCTACAACAAGTACAACATTAAAATCTCCACAATATTGTTTATAAACAATTGGCACGTACTTATTTTTGAAACTAGTTACTTAATTATTTACGAATGGAATACCCAGTTTTTGCTGAGAGACGTTTACGTTTTTCAACCTCAGCTTCAATTCCGCCCAATCCTCCAGAAATCTAAAACGAAGAAGCGCATTTTAAATACACGCACCGCGTGCCAAACTTACTGTCTTAAAGATTCCGCGTCGGTATCGCCTACGTTGGTGTTTCGCTTCCCGAAACCGCGCGCGACTGGTATGTTCATCTCTTGTAAGCCGCGCAGAGCTCGTCCGACCAATTCTCTGTCGGGTGGCGATTTTTGTCTGCTGTAAATATTCATCAATGAATCATTTATACGAAAAAAAAAATAAAAAAAATTGGTGTTCGAAAACTAGTCAGGGGGTCAAAGATGGTCAAACCTTGCAAATTTTCCTGGTCGATTTTCGGGAAAACACTTTCTTATAAATTTGATGCGTAGAATCCAAAACGATTTGTATTTTTTCGCTTAGACCGCTCAATCAAAAGTTATGGGCAAAAAACCAAATTCGAAAAAAATTCAAGGGGCTGTAACTTTTGATCTAGTAGCCCAATCTTCAAACCGTTTGAAGTTATGAATTCTACAGGCCAAAATCTATAAGAAAATGTTTTTTCCCGCTTGATTTCGAACAAATCATTTTTCCGACCCAAAAAAATAGGCAAGTGTTATAGCCTTGCTTTTTGCCGAAAATCGACCACTCCAAAAATTTTCGGGAGAACACTTTTTCTTATAAATTTTGATGCGTAGAATTCAAAACGATTTGTATTTTTTCGCTTAGACCTCTCAATCAAAATTTATGGGCAAAAAACCAAATTCGAAAAAAATTCAAGGGGCTGTAACTTTTGATCTAGTAGCCCAATCTTCAAACCGTTTGAAGTTATGAATTCTACAGGCCAAAATCTATAAGAAAATGTTTTTTCCCGCTTGATTTCGAACAAATCATTTTTCCGACCCAAAAAAATAGGCAAGTGTTATAGCCTTGCTTTTTGCCGAAAATCGACCACTCCAAAAATTTTCGGGAGAACACTTTTTCTTATAAATTTTGATGCGTAGAATTCAAAACGATTTGTATTTTTTCGCTTAGACCTCTCAATCAAAAGTTATGGGCAAAAAACCAAATTCGAAAAAAATTCAAGGGGCTGTAACTTTTGATCTAGTAGCCCAATCTTCAAACCGTTTGAAGTTATGGATTCTACAGGCCAAAATCTATAAGAAAATGTTTTTCCTTGTCGTTTTCAGACATTTCATTTTTCCGACGAAAAATGGACTACCCCAAAAATGTTCGGGAAAACACTTTTTCTTATTCATTTAGCTGCGTAGATTCCAAAACGTCTCGTACTTTGTCGATTGGACCTCCGAATCAAAAGTTATAGACAACTTCGAATTCTTGATATTCTTCAAAATCTTAAGACTTTGGATTTATCAGGTTCTTTGGCCCTTTGAATTCCTACGTTTCTTCGAATTTTCCGGATTATTCTGTTTTTTCATTCGTTTAAGATCCTTGGCATTTTTAGTTTTTCAAATTGCCTTCGTTTCTTAATTTTCTTTGCATTATTTTATACGTATTAACTCTTCAAATTCTTCAAATGAATAAAAAATTTTCAGTTTTTGAATTTGCTAAATTGCTCAGTATTTCTTTATTTTTTGGATTCTCCCATTTGTGCGATTCTTCAAATTCTTCAAATCAGTATACTCTTTGAATTCTTTAAATTGTGCATTTTTTTAAATATTGAGATTTTTGAAAATCTTAATCTGTCCTTCCTTTTCTTCGAATTCCTTCAATTGTTCTTTTTGGATGTTTTAGATTCTTCAGCTTCTCCAGAATCTGCGTTCTTCACCTTCATCTTTTCGTGTTCTTGGGCAATTTTGTATTTTTTTCACTTTCCGTTCTTTCGAATTCTTCAGATTACCCAAATTCGTCCAATCATTCGTCACATGCAACAATAATCTCGGGATTTTTTATTTAGTCAATTTACGAACGCTTTCCCTTTGTATTTTTCATATCTCTTACAGAACATTAATGTTTTCCAAAGCTTTCAAAATCTTCAAATTCTACAAATGGAACAATTCCGTTTTTCGAATACTTTCATTTGCTCTCCTTGTACTCCCGCACGGAGATCCATCAATTTTCTCATCACTCAAATTTTACCATTTTTCAAAAATGTACAGATTCTTCAACCCCCAGATCCCCCGGTACTACATACGGAATACCCCCCACACTACGATGTTTTCATTGGTATCGGTATACGAAGCATTTCGTGATAGTGATGATTGTAGAAAAAGAGACAACTAGTAGTTTTCGTTTCCTGGATTCCCGGGTGCTGTATTCTCCCCCAAGTGTTTACCGTTACCAATCACATAAAAATTTGAGAGAAAAGGCGATCGAACTTGGCACCACGTTCCGGCGGAGTATGGAATGTTCCTCATAAAAGAAGGTCCGATGGTCTCTTTTGAACGTATCACTAGAGCCACTTTCGAGGCTTAGAGTTTAAGCAAAAACGTAACACCAGGGGAGGGGGTGTCTCCCCAGCATACGAAATTTTCATTCGTATGGGTATAATAATCATTTCGTGATAGTAATGATTGTAGAATAAGGGACAACTAGCAGTTTTCGTTTACTGGGGGGTATCCTCAGACCCCCCGGTACTACGTTCTTCGCAAGAGTTAAATTCTCTCGCCCTCCCCCTCGCTTTTTCATAGTCTGCAAATTCTGTAAGATTTATTTGGTATTCTTTTGTGTTTTCGACTTGAGATTCTCCAAATTCGTTATATACTCATACATTGTGAAATTTCTAGGATTCTTTCGGTTTTTTAAATTCTCCCGTTTCCAATAACGCATTGGAAGGAGGAGAACATTTCCGAACGGTCTCCCAATTATTATCTCCTGGATAGCAGGCGAAATAAGAAGGTGGCAACTATCGCTTCCCTGACCACCCCATCATGGTGTGCCACAGCGATCGATTTTAGGACCACTGCTCCGGAATGTCACACACGAGCATCGATCGAACTAGAAAAAGTTTCACGCCACGCGGACCAATACACCGTGGCGTATTTGTTGGTGTTGGTGGTGGTTGCGGTGGAGAAATGAGGAGTGGGGGAGGGGTTTCTGTTATTATTTTCCATTAAAGGAGACAGTCTTTACGTATATTTAGAGTTAGGTAAGCATATCGATTTTGTTTCAAGGCGTTGAAAGTGGCGTAAAACGCAAATGTCAACGTTAGAATTACAAAAGCTCAATGGCTTTCAATAAAAAAAAAACATAAAAACGTGAACTTCGCAACTTACTTCTGAAGAATATGCATGCCCAAGGCACGTTTCCCAAATCCGCGCGTGACGCCTAATTCCAGTTCTTGAAATTCCCTCGGCGGGTGTAGTTGTCTGTAGCGTTTCGTTTGAACCGTCGTCAAAAAAATGACAACCACAAATACGCAGAGTAGAAACATGTTACTTTGTGCCATTCTGAAAACGAAAAGTATTTTTAGAATCGATCCTAAAATATTGTATTGAAACCGGTTAAGTGAACTCTCAGTTCGAATAGGATTTCATTTTGTCTAAATTTGGTTGTTAATAACGACTGTTTGTAGTAAAAAATCCTCATCTGCATTTCTGGTTACTTATGTCGATCTCTGTGAATCTTAATTTTTGGAACCGCAAACCCAAAGTTAATAATGAAGGAAAATTGGCTGAACAATGGCTCATTGATGCAATACCGATATTGTAAAAATAAATTGTTCTAAATGAATATTCTATGAATTAGCACGACACGGAGAATTCTCATTGCAAATTTCTGACGTACATGTGGTGGTTTCCAAGATCGAGAATTTCTACTTTTGATACATAGAGGATTTTAAATCTCCCGACATCCCAAAATGTTTACATTTTTTATTAGGTACACCTATACATTCAATAAAAATTCCCTGTATATGCGACGTTTGTTTTTATTGGACGCAGTTATGGTTACAATGTCAAAAAATATCTAAGTAGCATTGCATATAATCTGCATTGCACCTTTGATTATTCATTATCTAGGTTCTGTCTGCAGAGGGGCGAGCAATGTATTAATTGGGAACTCGAAGAAATGTCAAACATATCTCATTGATCTACTGCAAAGGGAACCGTTAAGTGATCTGCAAATGCTAGGATATAATGCATCCACTCCTTTGTCACATCTGTGGAGAGCCCTTCCACGTCCAAGTTGGCGATCATTGTCACTTTTCGGGCCGTTTTCGCGGGAATGCCCACCAATCATGCAATTTGTGATATTAAGTACCCGATATGATACTCCTATTTTTCCACAACTTTAGTGGATACGACAGTCACTGTTTTATTAAGGATATTGCTCAATATATTCCGGGGAAAGTCACGCTGTTACCTAAGAATCAGGGAAAATACATTTCGTTTACTAAGAAAAGTAGATTCTAATCGTTTCATGAGCG